TTTCTGATGGGCAAGGAAAGATATCACATCTTTCTTCCCCTACAACATGTGCTAGTTCAGAATGTTCTACAGAATATATTTTTAAAAGGTTGGGTGTGGTGACCCACATCTGTAATTCTAGCAACTTGGGAGCAGGATCACAAGTTCCAGGCCAGTTTTAGCCATTTAGCCAGACCCTGTCTCAAAATTAAAAAAAATAAAAAGGACTAGGGATATAGCTCAGTGATAAAGCACCCCTGGGTTCAAACCCTAGTACCAAATATATAAATGAATGTGTGTGTGTGTGTGTGTGTATACATATTAATTCAAGCTGGGTGTGGTGCACCCCTATAGTCACATCTACTTGGGAGGCAGAGGCAGGAGGATCCCTTGAGCCCAGGAGTCCCAGACCTGGGTATCAGTGAGATGCACCCCCGCTCAAGAAAAAAATAAAAACAAAAAATATCAAGCTAATGAGTATAGTACACTACAATTGTGTTACAAATAAACAAACAAGGGCTGGGGCTGTAGCTTTGCAGCAGAGCACTTGCCCACGTGAGACACTGGGTTTGATCCTCAGCACCATATAAAAATAAACAAAGGCGGGCTAGGGATGTGGCTCAAGCGGTAGCGCGCTCGCCTGGCATGCGTGCAGCTTGTTCAATCCTCAGCACCACATACAAACAAAGATGTTGTGTCTGCAGAAAACTAAAAAATAAATTAAAATAAACAAAGGCAATCTGTCCATCTACAACTCTAAAAAACAAACAAACAAACAAACAAACAAACAAGCTGGGCACAGTGGCACATGCCTGTAATCCCAGCAGCTCGGGAGGTTGAGGCAGAAGGATCATGAATTTAAAGCCAATCTCAGCAAACACGAGACAGTAAGCCACTCAGTGAGACCCTGTCTCTAAATAAAATACAAAATAGGGTTAGGGATGTGGCTCAGTGGTTGAGTGCCCCTGAGTTCAATCCAGGTGCCAAAATAAATAAATAAACAAAAAACTACTGTGAAAGTGCTGGAGTACTTGATCACTGAGAGTGGAAGACTTGCTTATTTATAATAGGGCCCTTTTTACTGTTTGATTCTTTTACCATGTGACACATTTTATTACTCTTTCAGTTAATGTGTGAAACAAGCTGCCTGGGGGCCCTGCTTGCTCTCCATCTCATCTGTCTTTTGTCCCTGGCCAGCCTGTTGCTCTGCCCACACACCCCAGAATAGTCTCAGGAGTGCTTCTTCCTCTGCCCTACCAATCCAGTTACTTGCCGATCAAGTCCAGCTAGGAACCCAGCCCACTTGGCCTGAAGAATGAGTTCTCCCCTGTCTGGCCATTAGGGGGCAGCCTAAACCTAGGACCTGCCTTGTGGTCGCTGGAAGCTGTTGGGGGAGCAGGGGGCACTCCCTGAATTGAAGGGCAGAGACTGCCAGAAAGCTTTGCATACCCATGCCATATGCCTTATACCCAGAGCTCCTGGAAAGTAAAATGTGTAGTCCCATCCAATGAAGGTGGTGATGGAATTGTCCCTTATCTATGATGGCTGGGACTCCCCAAGACCAGGAGGCCCATGTGACCCTACCCTACACTGATTCTAAGGCCTCAGATGGCGGGTATTTCCTGAACAAAAGTACAGACCAACTCATACGTTTGGGGTTCGGGGATTCTACAGGAAAAGGTGTTATCCTTAAAAACAGGAGCAGTGGGGGCTGGGTTTAGTGGTTGAGGGCTTGCCTAGCATCCATGAGGCCCTGGGTTCAGTCCCCAGTACCACAAAAAAATTCAGGAGCAATAGAACCATCCTGTTCCTTACCCCCACCCAGTATTCCGGGACTTTCTGCAGACTCCAGCTCAGCCCATGGTCAGTCCATCTTTAGCTGGCTGTGCTGCAAACAGTCCAAGGCCACTATATTCTGAGAACTCATACCAAGGACCAATGGGGTATGCTTCCCCTAAGTTCTTATCAGCCAGACAAGAGAGGAATTTCTTTCCAGGGAAATGCTGGGCCTCTTTATCTTCCACTTTGTTGAGATTACATGCAAAAAACTTTACCAATTTAAAATATACAGTGAAGTGGTTTTAGAATTGTGCAACCATCATCTTTTTTTTTTTTTAGTTGTAGTTGGACTAACACCTTTATTTCACTTATTTATTTTTATGTGGTGCTGAGGATCGAACCCAGGGTCTCGCACGTGGGAGGCGGGCACTCTACCGCTGAGCCACAACCCCAGCCCGCAACCATCATCTTAAGGCTAACTATATTTTCCTCATCCCCCAGAAGAGACTCCTCCCTCAACTGCAGTCTCTCCAACGCTTTTTTTTTTTTTTTTTTTTTGGGTGGCACTAGGGATTGCACGATGCATGTTCTACCATTGAGTTATATCCATGGTCCTTTATTTTTTTATTATTAATTTTTTAGTTGTAGATGGACACAATACCTTTATTTATTAATTTTTATGAGGTGCTGAGGATCCAACTTAGTGCCTCACACATGCTAGGCAGTGCTTTACCACTGAGCTACAACCCAGCTCTCGTTCCTTTATTTTCTAAGACAGGATCTTGCTAAATTGCCCAAGCAATTCTCTTGCCTCATCCTCCAGAGTTGCTGGGATTACAGGTGTATGCTACAGGTCTGTTTAGCATTTAACTGCCAGACTGCTTTCCAAAATAGCTGTTCCATTCAGCAGTGAGCTAGGGTTTCAACTTCTCACAAACACTTGGAATTGTCTCTCTTCAGTGGATGTGCTATGGTATCTCATTTTGATTTGCAATAAACCTGTGAAAAGATGTTGAGCATCTTTTGACCATTGAAACAACTTATTTGGGGGGCTGGGGATGTGGCTCAAGTGGTAGCATGCTCACTTAGCACTTGGTTCGATTCTCAGCACCACATAAATGTAAAATAAAGATATTGTGTCCACCTTAAAAAAAACTAAAAAAAAAATTTTAAAAAAATGAAACAGCTTATTTGAAGAAATGTCTAATGCTTTGCCTGTTTTAAAAAATTGTCTTTAAACTGAGCACAGTGGCACATGATTGTAATCCCATCTAATTGAGTGGGTGAGACAGGAAGATCACCAAGTTTGAGATTTGAGGCCAGCCTGGGCATGACCCTGTCTCAAAAATAAATAAGGGCTGGGGTTGTAGTTCAGAAGCAGAGCACTTGCGTGAGGCATGTGTGAGGCATTGGGTTCAATCCTCAGCACCACATAAAAGTAAATAAATAAAATAAAGGTATCGTGCCCATCTACAACTAAAAAAAATTTTTTAAAATAAGTAGAGAAAAATTTAAAAAGTAATAAAAAGGGCTGAGGATATAGCTCAGTTGGTAGACTGTTGGCTCACATGCACAAGGGCCTGGGTTCATCCCCCAGCACCACAAAAAATAAAAAAGTAAAAAGGGGTAGAGATGTAACTCAGTGGTAAAGCTCCTTTGGGTTCAATCCCCCTACAGCCAAGGGAGGGAAAAGTCTTTATTCTTGGTTTGGAGAGTTATTTATCTTTATTTATTTTTATGTGGTGCTGAGGATTGAGGAAGAGTTATTTATATATTCTAAGTCCCTTACCATATGTATGATTTGCTGCAAATACTTTATTCTTTTCTCATACAAGTGGTTGAACCCAGGCCCTTGCACATGCTAGGTGAGTGTTCTACCACAATGCCCCCTCCCTATCCCCTTTTTAAAAAGTGTGTCTTTATTTTTGAGACAGGTTTTTGCTAAACTGCCGAGGCTGGCCTCAAACTTGGAATCCTGCCTCAGCCTCTGGAATTATTAGAGGTGTTTACCACCATACCCAGTGTTCTTTCCATTTTCTTGATTTCTGACCTTTAAAGCACATCTTATCTACATTTTTATCTTGTTACTTGTGCTTTGGGTGTCATATCTAAAAATCAATGCCTAACTCAGGGTCACCAAGATGTGCTCCTATGATTTCCTCTCAGGGCATTTTGGTTTTAACTCTTACATTTAACTGTATTTTGAGTTCATTTTTGTACAGTATGAGGTAGCAGTGCAATTTGTTCCTTTGTATGTGGATACCCAGTATTAGGACCATTTGTTAAAAAAAAAAAAAAAGTTTGTTCTTCACCAAAATACCTCGGTCCCTCTGTCAAGTCACCGGAACATAAACGTTGAGATTTATTCCTGGACTCTCAATTCTATTTCATTGATTTTAAATATCTATTCTGATTAGGCCTTTTTGAGGCAGTAACAGAGCACAGGCGAAAAGAGCTCATTGACCAGAATTTTCATCCTAACCCTTTTATCTGAGGAGCCTGGGGTGGGCGTACTTCAGAGGCAGATGCACTGCTATTGGGGAGTAAAGGTTGAGGCTAGAGTGAGATAAGGACCAAAAAGTGAACAGTATGTCCTGGTTCCTCCCACCCATCCCTGAGCAGCAGATGTCAGATTGCACTTTTTGTGAGGCCCCAGCCCTGGAGGAATGAGGAGGGAGAATGTGTAAACCTCACAGGACAAGTTAGGAGGGGAGAAGGGCCCTTCTTGTGCAGCGGGGTTCCCTGCAAGGTCCTGCTGGCTCTTTGGCCTGCTGCCTGCCTACCTCAGCATTTCACATTCCTCAGCTTCCCTGAGAAACCCACGCAGAACCTCCACTTACACCATGACCAATTACTCCAGGGCTCAAAACAGCCAGGCCTCTGAGCCCAGAGAGCACACTTGGAGAAGGGAGAGGTCAGATGCCCAAACCCCCTCCTCCCCATCCTGTTAGAATATACAGTGAGGGAAGAAAAATTGAAGCCGGGCTTCCCTGTCCCCTTCATGCCACTTGCAGTGTCTGCAAAGCTGCCTTGGCTCATCTGAGCGAGCAGCCACCTGGGAAACTTGAGATAAGGTCAAAATTTCACAAACTGCCCAGTCAGGGCCATGGCAGCTGTGGCCTCTGATCGGAAATAAAAGCAGAAAAGCTGGCAGGATGCAGAGTGTGTGGGGCACCAAATGGACTCAAGGGCTGAACCCAGAGCGACACAGGGGCTGTGAGCACAGACACAGGCAGCCTCACTGGAGAGTCAAACACATTTTATTCAGCACAGGAATGTCTAAAGAGAGGGGCCTTGGGTAGGGTTCCTGACCAAGAACTCTGCTTCAAATCCCACTGTACACAGAATAAAGATCACCACGTGAACCAGGGCACAAGAGGTGTGGGGCTTTGTACAAGATCTGTGTCAGGTCAGAATAGGCCAGCACACAGTGAAGCAGGGGCAGGGTGGTCCATGTCCAGGGCCAGCCCAGCCTAGAAGAGTGTGTGAACAGCTCTCTGTAGCTCACTCAGAAACACCAGGGTGGGAGGAGGGCATGAGTATGGCTGCTTCAGGGTATTACCTCCACCTCGAAGGTTGTGGGGATGAATTTAGCTAGAGCAGCTCAGGATGCTGCGCCAGCACATGATTTGAAGGCCCCAGCCCAAGGGCGTGCAGGGGTGATGGGTGTGGTTCCTTGGCAGGGCTGTGCAACTCTTACTGGAAGCTCTGCCAGTCAGCTCCAATCAGCAAACCTTAAATAATGCTGACCTTCCCTGCCTAGGCCTCCCCTCCTGAGACCAGAGGTCAGTGTGGAAGTGAGAGAGAGCACTACTGGACAGAGCAAAGTGGCCTGCAGGCAGAACCAGCCTTGATGACTGTAGTCCTGTACTCAAGACATCATGATCAAGGGGTAGGGAAGGTCTCAGGTTCTCCACCAGGAAAGAGCTTGAATCTGAGCTCTCTGCCCTGAGGGTGTGCTACGGGCAGGGCCTGAGCAAGGCCTGAGCAAGGCCTGGGCAGTAGCCAATCCAAGGGAGGGAAGCCTGTTGGTGTGCCAACCAGGACCTCTGTTCTGTGCACTCCCAGCTGTCCTATGTTGTACTGGGTGCAAATGGGGGTGGGGTGGGGTGGGAGTGTAGCATGGAGGTTAGGAAGATGCTGCTGGGTATCTTGAGACCCTTGAGGATAACAAAGAGAAGTCACTCAAAATGGCCAGTTAGGTCTAGCTGAATTCCTGATTAAAAAGCATTGGAGAGGGGGAGGCAAAGAACAACACATTTTCCTGCATCCATCCCTGCTAATCTGAGTAGGTCTTCTTAGAGCATTCCCCCTGGAAGAGAGCTCCCCTCCAGTACCCAGCCAGTAACTCCAGTAGCAGGAGTGGAGGACTCAAAAGTGTAGATGCCAGTGGCATGGTTGCTCCTTCCATCAGGAAGCCCAGGGCTCAGAGCATGGCATGCCTGCACAAATCAATTCACCACCAGGGGGCGAGGAGAGCCATCTCTGGCTGGATGGAGGCTGGGAGGTAAATGCTGGTGCCCAGTTGGTATAAGTGCCAGCCAGAGCCCAACTTCTCTAAAACATTCATACCCGACACACAAAGCTGGATGGTGAGAGACCCAGGGAAGCCAGCTCCTAATGATTTGGCTGGAGAAGGGGGTGTGGGTGACACAAATGCCCTGGTGTCCAGGAATCACAACCAACAGGCAAAAGGAACACAGCTAATCAGTGTGGAAGGAGGCAGGGAGGGGACCAGGGTGCATGGTCCCACCAAGGGCTTACTCATCAAACTTCCCTTCCCGAATGTGTTCAAAGGAGAAGGGTAGGAACTTGAAACCGGTCCCACTGTAGAATTTATTCTGGAACTCGACCCTGGAAAGAGGGAAAAGAACAGATGTCATCCCACAGAAACTTCTGTTTGTTTTTGAGAAAATATCTTGCTATAGTGCCTAGGTTGGCCTCCAGCTCCTGGGCTCAAGCAATCCTTTTACCTCAGCCTCCCCAGTAACTGGGATAACAGGGATACGTCACAATGCCTGGCCCATAGAAACCTCTTGAAGCTTTTTGGGACTTCCCAGTAGACCCAAAAAGATGTGCTGTGCCTACCTTCCTCCAGGCCTCACATTCCTGGGTGCACTTGTGAAAACTCTGTTCTCAGTCCACTTCCCATAGTGTGGAAACCACTTTTAAAACCCAGATCTGCCCTCATCAAGAACTCAATATAGGATGAGTGGACAGGGAGTTCCTCAGTTCCTGTTCTTGTGTTTTCCAGAGGGTGTTTATGCAGAACTCTTTGTAGAGAGCCACATGCAAAAAGCATCAAGTTGGCTTGAGTCTCTAACGGCAATGAAGTTCATGAAGAAGGGTCCCCCATGGGCCTTCCTGGAAAGGGCTTACATAAACCACCTCTAAGGGAAGCCCCTTCAAGGGTCCCTGGGCCAACACCACTGTTCTTGTTTGTTCCTTTTCTTCGGAGGAGGAAGGAGAAGGGGGGCTTGCGAGTGAATGCTGAAGGCTTTCAGTTTGAGGGCGGAAATTCCTAGGAAAGGGGGGAAGTTAGGAGGGGAAGTCTTCTCAAAGCAATGGCAAAAATATTCTCCAACCACAAAAACATCTGAGAAAAAATTCTTCTCTGGGGACCAAAAGGAAAGACAGGGTCTTAACTCCCTTCCCAGGCAGTGAGGCGACCATTCCTGCAGCTCTCCTTGGGGCCCTTTCTAACTCAGAGGGGCAGGAAGAAGCGGGAGCAGGGCTGCCTGGATCCTTTCCTCCCCCACTCGCCCTGGAGGGCTGCCCAGCAGCCAAAGCACCACCAAATATGGGCAGAAAAATGCATGATTCAGATGATAAAAAAGCCAAGGAGAGTTGCCCTGAGGCACAGTTTCCACTTGGTACTTTGTGACACCACAACCCTGCAAGAACAGGCAGGCGTGGGGACTGTGAGGAGACAGGTGACGGGAGGGTGCAGGGCAAAGGCTTCAGGAAACTTTAAGGCTTCAAGAATCCTTTAGTTCCCTTGCTTATCCTCTGGCCTCAGCCACCGCTTGCCCTCCAAGCCAAGGCGGCAAGATTTAAACAGGGAGTGGGAAATGGCCAGTGACACTGGGGGTTCCCAGAGGTCCTTTGGCCTTGGGTTACTGACTGAGGACACCAAGTGGCAGCTGTCAGCTCCACCCCCTGGGAGAAGAGTGAAGCAGGATTTTCTGTGTGGGAGTGAGAGCACTGCTTTGTCCCTCCACTCCCACATTCCGCAGGAGCTGGGCCAAGGTCCCAAAGCCTCCCTGGCCCTGGACACTTCCCATTTGAGATAGCCCACTCCTCCTGGGAAACAGGATTCAGGAGGGAATGGAATGGTCCTTCAAAGTGAAGTCAGTCACAGGGTTGCTCCAAGAGCAGTTCCAAACCAGGACCTGGGTCACCCCACATTCAATGCCCTAAAAATTCCTCCTTCAGGTTCCAGCTACTGAGGCTGCCTCTGCAGCCACATGGTGGGGAACAGGGGTAGCTTCTGCTTCTCACTTCTGTTGGGTCTAAATGCTGTGTGTGTGTGTGTGTTGCTAGGAATGGAACCCAGGGGTTCCTCACCTCTGAACTACATCCCCTGCACTTTTTAATTTATTTTGAGCTGGGCGCAGTGGCGCACACCTATAATTTCAGCAGCTGGGGAGGCTGAGGCAGGAGGAACACGAGTTCAAAGCCAGCCTCAGCAAAAGCTAGGTGCTAAGCAACTCAGTGAGACCCTGTCTCTAAATAAAATACAAAATAGGGCTGGGGATGTGGCTCAGTGGTAGAGTCCCAGAGTTCAATCCCCAGTACCCCCCAAAAAAGAAAAAAATTTCTTTTGCGACAGTCTGGTCTCAAACTTGCCACCCTCCTGCCTCAGTCTCCAGAGTCACTGACTTAGCAACAGATTTATATATACTCTCTTCATTCTACAATTGATAGCCAGTGAACAAGCCATACTACAGGGTCCAGCTCAAGACCTAGGGGAAACTGTCCACATTGGTGGGGTATATTGCCCCTGAATTCCAGTGAGGCAGTCAGAATTTTGACCCCCTGGCTGGCTAATCACACAATACTAATTTCCAAACAAGGCAAATGGAGTAGGTGCTATGCTTTCAGATGGCCATGGGGGTACCACCCTTCTCTTGGTTCCCTTCTGCTTACCATGTGGGCCCACTGGGGTCTAGAAGGGGACACATATCTGGGATGAGGCAATAAATTCTGCTGTGTGGGCAGACAGAAGATCCCTTTCACACCACCTGAGACTGCCCCTCCCACCAGCTAGTACTTGAGGCTGGAGACTTAGGGTGGCCACAACCACAGACATCTTTTGTTTTTTCCATGTTGCTGGGGATCAAACACAAGGCCCCACACATGCTAGCTAAGCAGTCAACCACTGAACTACATTCTCAGCTCAACATCTTATGCCTACCTAGGTTCATCTGACTTAACCTGTCTCCCCAGTCAGTGGTCCTTACCCCAAGCTCCCAGCACAAAACTGGAAAGCAATTTCCCTATCAGTCTCCCCACCCTCCTCCCCTGAACCAAGGAAACATGCACTTCCTGAAAAAGTATAGACATAAAAGTCCTCTGTGCTGGGACAAGAACGGCCTCCTGGACACTCTGAAAGCTCTTTTTCTTTATGGGTCACTGCACTGCTCTGCTCAGGGAGTCTCCCTGGCTCTGCCATGCCCAAGCCACTAAAATGCACCTCTAGAATCCAAACTGATATGAGAAGAACCTTGTGAAGGATGACAGGTTTCTCTATCATGGCTTCCAGGTCCCACAGGTGGCAAAGGACACCCAGTGACCCATAGAGACTAAATGGGAGACCAAAAGAGATCACTCCTACCATGGACAGAAAACCATTTTTCTTGACTGGGTGAAGAAGGAAGGGGTTCTGGGACCCCTTCCTTTTCTGGAGAGGTGTGACTGAGGCAGTTTTGGAAACTCAGTCTGGATTGAACTGCTTTTCTGGCTCTTTCTTCTCTCTCTGAGCAGTTCTGATGTCCTATCTGATGGTCCAAATGTCAGTCAATGATGTCAGCCTAGAGCCACATTCCAGGGGTTCTTATTTCTCCTGGGGCTGCCTTATCTCAAACACTCCATGTTGTCAGACTGTGGCAACACTGCATTCCTTATGACAAAGTGCTTCCCATTTATGCCCAATTAACCATCAACAAATTTGTGATTGCACCAGTGTGCACATTCAGATACATGTAGAATCTGCTAGATAAGAAGGAATCAGGTTCCTTGGAAGGGAGGCCACAGGCAACAGTCTTTCTGCAAAAACATCAGCTGTAACTACAATCAGATCCCTCCCTGCCTTATTCCTTCTCTGAGGAAGAAATATCTAACTATGGTGGGCAAGAAAACCAAGCATACAATGCATGGTAGGCAGGAGGAAAAGAGAGATACAACTCAGAAGACAGACAGACTTGGCAGATTAGTACTTAACCTGTTATGTTTTAAAATATGTCACCCACCTTCTTATAACAAGTCATGATCTTAGACTATTGCTGTATATGTTATCAAGTCAAATATTTTTTCCTCTCGTTCTCACTGAAGAGACTTGAGAACTTTGTGCAATGGAGTGGCCCTGGAATCGGGAAACACCACGGATGAAATAAGAAGCATGAGGATGCCTATGTTGGATGCCTGGACAACCAGCAGGGATATCCCTGTGGCCATCTTCCACGGGACCAGCTGTTCCTACTTCTGAGCAGTGACCACAACTCTGAACTCCTCCTGCTACTCTGGACAACTGTTAAGACCCAAGAACCCTTGGCGCACATGCACATTCAGCCAGGAGAGGGCGCATAAGCACCAATTTCATTCACTTTTTTGGAGTGGCCCCAGAAGTGCCATTGGTGACACCCCTCCAAAGAAGGGATTCTGAAAGTTCAGAAAGGAGTTTTTCACTGTTTTTTTAATCTTCTGCCAATATTAACTAGTAAACAGAAATAAAACTATGACGTGCAGCAGGCGTATTCCTTGCAAACTGTATCTAAGAGCATTCAGATGGTATCTCATGCTTCCTTTTGGGATCTCTCCTTTCCAAAGAGGCCAAAAGCAGTTTCTTTATGAGATACCCTAGCCAGATGCCCTCTCTCCCAGGCATCCCACTATTCAGCAGGATAGCCACAATCTATACCTGAACACCTGTTTAAAGGATATGCCAGAGCACTGTGACGGACACTTGGTGTGTGCGTTATTTCCTGTTTGCTCCCAGTAACCTTATCACATGGATATTGTCCTCTCTCTCCATGTGAGAGAAAGGCAGGTTCAGAGAGCTGGTGCTCTGCTCAGGGCCACCTGCTCAGTATAGTAGGGTCGAGATCCAAACTCAAGTCAGCCTGACTCGAAAGCCTGTTCTCCTGTCACTCACCCACCTCCTCAGACTCCTTCGGGAGAACATGGGAAGACACTTTCACTCAAAGGCCATGTGAGCCTGAGGAAGAAGTAATTCTTTTTTTGGTACTGGTGACTGAACCCAGGGGTTTTCTACTACTGAGCTAAAACTCAAGTCCTTTTTAATTTTTATTTTGAGACAGGGTCTTACTAACTTGCCCAAGCTGACCTCAAACTTGTAATCCCCCTGCCTCTACCTCCAGAGTCACTTGGATTATAGGCATGTGCCATCACACCTTGCAAGAAGTAATTCTCCTAGCAATGAAGCATGGCATCACTCCGGAGATGAGGCCCAAGTGTAGGCAGCCTTCCTCATGACCCAGCCTGCCTGCCTTGGCCATCTTTTCAACAGCTCTGTTCCAGCGCCTTGATGGCTCCTCACCCTGCCTAGGGAGGAGGTAATGAGCCTTCATGTGGGCTGGAATCAAGGTGGGGTAGTCACTGTTCCCTCAGCTCAGGGCTCAGGAGACAGAGACATTAACAAGAAAGAAAGGAGGCCAAGAGGGCAGGCAAGAAAAAGTGAGTCATCACAGGCTGGTTACGCAGACGCTCCCTCACCGGGAGTGGCTGAGGAAGTGTGGTGGGGAGGTTCACTGATAAGCTGAGAACAGGGAGCCAAGCCAGCGGTCTGAAACAGGCAGACTCCTAACCTCCCAGCTCCAAGTAAACAAGGCACTGGGTAGGGAGGAGGCAGCCAGGAGGGGAAGGGCCAAGCCAGAGAAAGCATCTACTGACATGGCGGCAGTCTCCCAGAGCAGCTTTTGAGGGAATAGTCCCAGCCAAAGCTTTGCTGCTTCCCCCATAACTGAGCATAACCAACTGTGAGGAGGTTGGGCTGTAATCCAGTCAGGAGAAAAGTCAAAGAAAAAGGAGAGCGAGAAGAGCTTGCCCCTCAGCAAGTGCTGCTAGATTTCCTCAGGTCTGGAAAACATGACAGACATTCAAAATCCTCTTCTGGCCTTAAGACCACCAAGACATCACTGAGGCAGGTTCAGTGAGTTTATGACCCCTCACCACTTGTAACAGTGGGGGTGAGGGGTGAGTGTTCCTCTGGGGACAGGATCCAGGGCTTCCAGAAACTCTGGATTTTGAGACTCCAAAAAGGAGGGAGAATCATAACATAAAGAAGGAAATGGAGCCCAGTGTGGTGGCGCCTGTAATCCCAGCAACTCAGGAGGCTGAGGCAGGAGGATCATGAGTTCAAAGCCAGCCTCAGCAACTAAGCAACTCAGTGAGACCCTGTCTCTAAATAAAATACAAAATAGGGCTGGGGATGTGGCTCAGGGGTGAGTACCCCTGAGTTCAATACTAGTACCCCCCGTCAACCCCCCCCCCAAAAGAAGGAAATAGAGACATAAAGGGTTGCCCAGTTTTTAGTATTAGTATGTCCCATGCACATTGAGAAATACTAAAAATTATTCACTGTTTAAAATTCAAATTTAACTCAGTGTCCTATTTTTTTATTTGCTAAATCTGACAACTCTCATTGAGGTCACCCGTCACAACCAAGTTTTCCCACTCCTGAGCTCACTCTCTCCAGGCAGAGCCATTAAGAGTCACACAGTACCTTAAAGAGAACAAGCAAGCAAACAAGAAAACCCAAAGTTGTCTTTCCAGCTGCTTTAGTATACCCGGCTGTATGATGTAGCCAGGAACCCCCGGTCACAACGAAGCCGTTAAGCTACTATCCTGCCCAAACAGCACTAGCACAGGGATAAAAGGATAAAGCTGGGATGCAGTGTGCTCTAGCCCTTTCCTGGACCAAGACTCTATAGTGCTTTTACTGCTCTAAAGATATGAGAGAAAAAAACAAGAACAAAATAATCTTAAACAGAGAACACCAACTCCAGCAATGTGTGTTTTTTATTGGGGTGGGGGTGAGCAGGTGGTGGTACTGGGGTTTTAACCCACGGGCACTTTACCACTGAGCTATATCCCCAGCCCTTTTTATTTTCATATAGATAGGGTTCTGCTAAATTGCTGAGGCTGGGGGTGTAGCTCAGGCCTAGCTGCAAGAGGCCTTGGGTTCAATCCCCAGTATTGCCACAAACTAACAAAACAATAAATTGCTGAGTCTGCTCTCAAACTTGTGATCCTTCTACCTCAGCCTCCCAAGTCACTGGGATTACAATTAAGTGCCACCACCTAGCTTCAAGAGAATTAGAGAACGCTAAAGGCAGGGGATGAGAACCTGATGACACTTACCAGGGAACCCTCCCTGAAACCCATGAAAAGATAAGCTAGGCTTTTCTGTGGTCTGTTTCCAAAGCTCAGTGCCAACACAGGCACTAGGGTAATGCCATGAGAGCCAGCAAAGGGATAGCTCCCACCTCCTAGAAGACAGACCCTTGATTTTATGCAGAAGGAGAGCCGTGCACTCCCTGCAGGCAAGGAGGTGTCCCACCCCTATCTCCTGCTCCTCACCAGTGTAATCGCAGTGCGTGAAGGAAGGCTGAGAGGCCCTCCATGATCAGCAGGATGGCCACGGTCAGTGTGGCAAAAGCGGCAAAGATGAAAAACAGCGCCAGTCCTCCGGCTAAGCTCTTCACACTCAGGCCGATGTGGATCACCATGGTCCAAAGCACCTCGGAGAGTTCTGGGAAATGGGGAGACACAAAGTCTGATTCAGTCTAACAAGAGGTGGCTGTGGACCTTGTATTTATCTCTGGCATCCTTCCCTGGAGGGTTCCTTGCCCTGTGGATTCCCACAGTTAGGTAGGTTCACCATGCACAGCTAAACTAGCATAAGTGGTAATCAAAGAAAAAGGATAGCGAGAAGAGGCCCCTCAGCAACTGCTGCTGGATTTCCTCAGGTCTGGAGAACATGTACTCATTCTGCTTGGATTCAGGTGCCAGAATAATTCTAGAACCTTCACATGCTGGATAAACCTTCACGCAATTGAGGGTGTGCCCAGAGAAAGGAAAACCCGATTCTGGGTGGGAGGGAAACATACTCACGTGCATGAGCAAGGCTGAGCGCCCAGAGCCGCAGGTAGGAGGCGGTGTTGGAGATGCAGCCCAGGCAGTACTCAATGGTGTGGATGGCCTGGTGGACCATGGTGTCCCCAAAGTCAAACTGTTGTGGGAGGTAATCAGAGAGATGGTATCAGGCCAGTAGGGAGTGCAGGAGTACTGAGTTGTTTCCTAGTACTTTTGAGCCCAGGCCAGTTCAGGGGACTACACTTCTTAAGTCTGGCACCTCACCTTTGGAAGGGCTGGGAACACCCAGTGCTGTACTCAGGTACTTAGTAGAGATGCCTTCTCCAGAAATCCTGCCTGGCTTGGCTCCCAACTGGGAAACCCTACCCCTTCAATATACTACACTGCATCGATTTCCCCGCAAGTATTGGAGAGTGAACCAGGGGTGCTTTACGACTTTAGTCCTGTTTATTATGACACAGGGTCTAAGTTGTTCAGGTTGACACTGAACTTGTGATCTTCCTGCCTCAGCCTCCCCTCCTAAGTGGCTGGTTAATGAGATTCTTCTCAACATGTTTGTTTTCTCTCCCTGCTGGGCTTTGAACTCAAGTCAAGTATGTGCTGTGTCTGGCACTCAGTTGGGAGGAAGACTGGGCTTGGGATCATAAGGACTTGTCAGTGGACTGAGCCCAGCTGATTCCCACCTTCTGCTGATGCCCACCAGGGAGCCCTGCTGGGAATCTGGCAGCTCTCTCAAGCCTGCAGAAGACTAAGCCTCTATGACATCTTTACTTATTCTTTTATAGCCTTTTGGGATCAAAATCACCTTTTTCTTCTGTGACTTCTGAAGACATTACCAGGAAAATTTTGACAGTCTTACCAATTCCCACATGGATAGCTGCTTAAGGCCAAACAGCTTGCCTTGGGTTTTTGTTTTCCTCATGCTCCCTTTCTTCCAGCTTTCCTTTCAACATCAAGAATTATTTCTAAAAGAAAGAGGTGGGCTAGAACAGGCTCTGAGGAGTCCACTTTAAGGACTGCTCCAAGAACAACTGGGGGAAATACAGGTTTTTGAGTAGTATATTCTAGAAGCCCCAGGTGGAGTAATCAATAGCCCATAAAAGACCACAGGACATTCCCCTTCTTGGGTCTCCTCCCTAGAGCCGAGCCTAGGAGCCTCATGGACCTCAGGACTCCTGTGGCTCAGCCACTGCCTGGCCCTCAGGTCAGTGTCTATTTTTCACCCCAGTTTCTAAACTGTATTTAGGGACTAGGCTGGTAAAGCCAAAGTGCAGTGGGACCAGTTCCAGCATGCCACCTTTCATGAATGCCTCACTTTGTTTCACCTCTGACTATGCCCTGCCTTATTTCTGGACTTTTCTCATGGAACAGGCTCTTTGAATCTCTTACCTACCCTGAAAACACAGTAACCCTAGTTTTCCTGAGGTACCTTAACCCTAGCAACGCTGTGAGCAGCTTTTCCCCACTACTGCTGTCTGTGCTGAGGGGAAGTCAAGTCCACAGCTCTAAGACGCCCAGGGGCTCCCTGAGAAGCTGCCCTTTTTAGCATTTTTATTCCCCTCAGGATTCTCCCATTGAAAAAGGAAAGGGAGAGGGGGAAGCTACCCTTCCAGGCATTATCCTCACTTTCTCCTCTCCTTCACTCCCATCTTCCTGCTTGGTCATAGTTTCTGAGGTGATGTGAGAAGTAAGTGAAAAATCTAGCCCAGCATTTGGAAGCACTGGCCCCACAGAAGTCAACTTGGACGGAACCATGAGTCAAGGAGCACTCCCCATCTGCAGGCTTATCTCAGCTTCCCCTGGCTCCATTCATTCCATATCTTGGCTTCTGCCTTCTTCTAAGGAAGGTGGCCACCTTACCTCCCCATGGTTAAATACTATGTCCTTGACTGTGTTTCTGTAGTGTCTGTCACTTCCTCCTTCTTGAGACACTTGTTTTCCCTTGGACTTTATTATTCTAACTTTCTGAACATTCTTTATTCATCTCCACCACAGTTCTTCCTTAAACACTGAGGTTCCCTGGAGTTCCAACCTCAGCCCTTTAGGTCTTTCCTGTGGGACTGCCACTCAGGGCCTCAACAGTCCCAAATGAACATCTCCATCTCCCTGTTGCCTATTCTCAATTAGCTGTGCTATGTGTTGCTGTGCTGTACTTTCTGGTACACCACAGGCCTTGATTCAACACCACCTGAACAAAATTAATTAGCTGCTCCCCTCTGCCTCCAAAAAGACCTATTTCCATTCCATGTCCAATCCTGGCAGTCTATCTTACTCGCACTCTCTATATTCACCAAGGCACTGGGACCTTAGCTTTTGAAGCCAGGGGTGCTTCACCACAGCACTATATCCCCAACCCTTTTTATTTTTATTTATTTATTTTTTGGGTCCCAGGGATTGAACACAGGGGCACTCAACCATTGCGCCACATCCCCAGCCCTATTTTGTATTTTATTTAGAGACAAGGTCTCACTGAGTTTCTTAGTACCTCGCCATTGCTGAGGCTGGCTTTGAATTAATGATCCTCCTGTCTCAGCCTCCTGAGCTGCTGGGATTACAGGTGCCTTTTTATTTTTTGAGACAGGATCTCACTAAGTTGCTGAGGCTGGCCTTCAACTTCTGATCCTCCTGCGTTAGCTTTCCAAGTTGCTTGGATTATAGGTGTGCCCTAGCTTCAGCAGCTTTTACTTTGGTTTTTTTTTTTTTTTGATTTATTTGATTTATTTTTAGTTGTAGTTGGACACAATACCCTTATTTTATTTATTTATTTTTATGTGGTGCTGAGGATCGAACCCGGGCTGCACGCATGCCAGGCGAGCGCGCTACCACTTGAGCCACATCCCCAGCCCCAACTTTCTTAATGTCTCATATTGGCCCCTTCATTTCCAACTCCTCCTATAAATGCCTTACTTCACTTCAGGCTGCCCAATTCTTTCCTGAATCACATCAGACTAGATGGTGTCCCTGTCTTCAGACTGTGCCCCTCCCCCACCCAACAACCCCTACAACTCTAACCCTGGAGCTAGTTCAGCAATGCACATGTGCCTGTGTTGCTCCAGCTTTTCCACTCTCGGATGGCTCCTGTTGCCCCAAGGAGGCAACAACTACTATGGCATGTTTCTGCCAAACCTCTCGTCTCATCTCCCACCAGTCCTCCAACTCCTGACTCTGCTCCAGCCAAGCTGAACACCTGCTCATCTCCACCCCCAGAAACCCCTGCTTGTCCAGGCTATGCTCAGGAATAAGTCCCTGAGGGAATCCTTTTCTGAATTCTTCCCAACCTCATCCCAGTGTTTCTCAAGGCCTTATCTGTGCTCCCACAGCATCCTGAGCAGTGCCCATCATGGCATCCGCCACCCAGACTGTCTCCCCACTTTGGGAGATGCTTAAAGGCAAGAACTATGGGCTTTTTTCCCTTGGTCTCTACAGCACTAAACATATGGCTTGATGACACACAGAAGGTGAATGAATGACTAGATGGGTTGGTGAGTGTTTGGACAGGTGGGTGAGTATGGGGATGAGTTGGTGAATCACCTCATGAGAAGCCAGTGGGGAGGGGGCTGTTGACCCTTGCTGAGTGGTTACAACTTTTTAAAAAAATATATATTTATTTATTTTTAGTTGTAATTGGACACAATACCTCTATTTCACTTATTTACTTTTATGTGGTGCTGAGGATCCAACCCAGGGTCTCGCATGTGCGGGGTGCGCTCTCTACCGCTGAGCCACAACCCCAGCCCCTAGTTACAACTTTTGAGACTATCAAGTGTCCTGGTCCTTATTTGCAACAAAAATGAGTGCCTCCCAGGGAACACACAAGGGTTTGCATCCAAGCAAAATGGGGAAATTCTAGAAGCAGGCTGGACTTTTTAAGGGAATTTTCTTTGTTTAGTATCATTATGTAACTGATATAGTTACCTAAATTTTGGCTGAAGAGTATCAGTGCCTGATAAAGATACAATGTTATGACTATTAAGGAAGCACAGTGAACTAAATCTCTGAGTTGGGTGGCCAAAGACTGGGAAGGCTGAATTAGAGTCTATCTTCTTTGACTGTCCAACCCAAAGGACATGGCTACAAACAAGGACATTGATAAAAGATGGCTGGCTGAACCATTCTGACTAAGACCATGCATTGTGTACTCGATGAGGACAACATTTAGAATGCAATATTGTGGGAGGTGGTGATACCGGGAGAAGGTTGGGTTTCTTGCTAACGTGGAACATTGTCTCCCCAATCATGCCAGGCAGCTCAGCCAATGACTGCACAGAACAAAGAAAATCCTTGATGCCAGCAAAGGAGCCTCTCCAAATGTCAGGAAGACAAGCACTGCCTGTTTTACACAGGTCAGTGAGGTTTTCCATTCCCATTCCACTGCCCTTAGACAGAGGACCAGGAGAGCCAGGAAAGGAAGGGTCTAGGCATTTTAAAGAAGTTTTGTTTTGTTTTTCGGGGGTGGGGGGTAGGAGAAAGATGTAAACAGTGCAGCAAGGCCTTTTAAACACCCAATTCAGAACATGTGTTGCCAAATGAAATATTGCTGAGCTAGAAGGCCTTCCACTCTAGATGTGGCCTGCATATTTAGCCAAACTTCTTTTCATTCTGTTGCTCTTAACATTTGTCTGATATATAAATTCTTCACCAGACAGATTACTCTTCCTGGGATGCATCCGAGAGGCAAAGCCTCCTAAAAGTTGTCTCCCTCTCCACTGGGTCACATGGAGATAGAGCTGACCCCAAGCAAGGGTCTAGTGGTTCTAAGGGGAAGCATCAAGCTGATGAGGGCAGCAGGATGTGGCTGGCTGCATCTCAGACAGGGAGGAAGGGTAAGCTATGCTCATAGGTACTCAGAGGAGCAGGGTGCACAGCTACTCCCAGTGGGAGAGCAACGACATCACAGGAGAGGAACATGAAGACCCAATGGGACTTAGCCCCCAAGGGAAGTCACTTCAAGAATGCCAGTGCAGACATTACTTGCAGCTCCTTCAAAGCCACTCTTAGAGGTATTAGATCTGCAAAGTCAATGACACAAAGACAGAGGTGATCAACATGAGATGCAGTTAATGGAGATGAGCTTTTTCAGAACACAGGCTCACAAACTGGTTAGAAATGGCCAGTGAGATGCAGGATGCACAGTGTCATGTGTGTAGCCCCAGGGTGTTGCAGGGTCAGAGTGATCACAAGGATGGGAAAAGAGAAGCCCCCAAATAAACATGAAGGCTTTTGTCTTACCACTTCGTCCTCGGTAGGCTTGAAAACACAAATTTACACTTAGTGGGAATGCACGCCACACACAGGGTCATAGGTTATGAGCACATACTACTGCCTGCTTCTTGGGGAGGACTGGCAACGAACATTACATGGACTAATAAATTAGTCTACACATGCAAAATGAGAATAGCAGGAACTGAGAGCAGTAAGATAAATATTTTTAAAGGCACCCCAATGCTTGTAATTAAAAAAAAAATCATATACACAGTTGAAAGCGGTCAGACAGACTGAAAAGTTCAATCTAGGTCCTCTACTCATTTATACTTTAAAAATGAATATTTTGCCAAGGGAAGAGGAGCCCAAGTTCGGGACCAGACTGGGAAATATAGCAAAACTCTGTCTCAAAAAACCAAAAGCACACAAAACAATGGGGGAAAAAAAACCCAAAATAAACAAAAAAAAGAACATTCTGTTTTAATAAATAAAACGAATAGTTAATATTTAATAGTTCAATTCAGAGACTTTATGCTATGAATGGTCAGGTAATGACCTATTAAAAAAAAAGAGGCAAATAAAAATTAATAATAAAGGGGCTGGGGCTCAGAGCTAGAGCGCTTGCCTAGCACGTGCAAGGCCCTGGGTTCGATCCTCAGCACCTAATAAAAATAAATAAATAAAATAAAGATATTGTGTCCAACTACAACTAAAAAAATATTTAAATAATAATAACAAAAACAAAATATCTACAACAAGAACACATCAGTAGCATAGGACTTAAAAAGTACCACTGATTGATTATACTCGGTTAACAATGTAAACAGAACAACTGTCAGAAGGATCAAGGGACAAAGAAGCCATCCTGAGTAGTCTGTTTCAGGTAACAAGAACTGGGATGCTGGGTGCTGCTTGGGCTGAGGAGAGCAGTTAGCAGCTGAGACTGTGTGCACAGTACTGCATGCACCATGGAATTCAAGAAGAGCAGAGCAAAGCTGCTGTGGGCTCTATAGGCAACACTGGAGTTAGAGCAAGGGCCCACAGAAAAAGCTGTGGTACCCTAAGCAGCCCAGAGGGCAAACTGATTGTTAGTATTTTTACTTTTCAAGAAGACTGGAGTAAGCTTCTTAGGAAAACAAGACTAGGACTGACCCAAGGTGGAAGGAGAGGAAGCCCACACCACTGGATCTTACCTCTTCTGCGTCCTCTGAATGGGTGGAGAGCTGGTCATGCTGAATAATCTCAGCATCCTCCTCTGTCGGTCCGTTGCCCACCCTGATCCCACCAAAGTTGAGAGTTCCCTACACAGATGAACAGAAAGAGCAGAATTTGCCTGGGCTTTAATGTGACATTCTGTGAGGTGAGGAAGGGCGATGGTTAGTACATACAAACCTCAGAAGAGCATATATCCTAACAACAAGGGCAAAACTCACTAATTGAACAGCTAAGTAAAAATGAACAACTGTTCCCACCCCAAGCACCACTGCCCCAGACCCTACAGGTGGTAACCTGAATTTACCACCTCAGCCAGCTGCACCAAGAGGCATCAACCTAGCCTTGATCGATGCCGAGAACCCTGCTTGAATGAAAACTGAATACAAACACATTCTCTTAACAAGTGCACCTTTATCAGTAAAGGCTGCAAGGGCTTAAATTTGTTGGAAATAAAGATTAGGCTTTCTAAGAGGGAGAGAAGCCAAGAGACATAGTGAGTGCACGCTAGTCTGATAAGCTTTCAACAGGAGCCCAGGAGTTCCAGCAATCTCTCCCAGAAATGTGCAGGATCTCTGCCCAGGACCAAAGGAGTGCCTAGGTTAGGGAAGTAAAAAAAATTAATGTACATTCACTTAATGTACATTTATTTGTGGCTAGAGAATACTGAGTTAAAAAATAACAACAGATCAAAGAGGTGCTTCGGAGAGTTTTAGAGTGTTAAAATGACTGTTACAGGGCAGAAACTGACTTGGCGTTTGTTCCTTCTGTCTTCACAAGTACAGTCTTCAGCAGAAGGGTGTACAAGTTTGGATAGAATTTTAAAGTCAACTTGAGAAGCAGCCCTAGAACCACTTCATAAGTCTCTCTCCAGGAAAGAGGTGGAGGGCTATCCTGCAAAATGGCCTATGGGGCAGCAGCACAATGTGCAAGAAGGTTTGGCCAACTACACTGTGGTTCTTCTCCTTAGCTTCACCTTTTGGGGTACCCCTTTTACCACAGTTCACTGGCTAGCTCAGACCCCAATGTCTGCACAGATTCTCCCTTTTTCTTCTTCTGAGTGGGGGTACTTGGGATTAAACTCAAGTATTTAAACCGTGTTCAAATACTTAGGCCTTACCCCTAAGCCATATCCCTAGCTCTCTTTTTTATTTTGAAATGGGTCCTTGCTAAGTTACTGAGACTGGCCTCAAACTCACAATCCTCCTGCCTTAGCCTCCCAAGTTGTTGAGATTATAGGCATGTGGTTCCATACTCAGAGTCTCCCTCTTTTTCTAACAGTGGTCCTCATATGCTGGTCAAAAAATCAGCAGCATTATAATCGTCTTAAAGCTATACTTTTAAAAAAACTTTCAAATACTATCTCCAGAAATTATAAATATGGTAGGTCTAGGGTGGGGCACAGTAAATCCATATTTAAAAAATATTCCCCCACGTAGAAATTACCTAATCATTGTGAAGAGTCTATTAAAAATGTATAACACATGTACCATTTGGGATAGAGCAATCCCATTGTGTGACATGCTTGCAAAACTTTAATAAGCTATACAAAGATATTCCCCAAATTGTTTATAATGGCAAAGAATTGGGAATAACCAACACATCCATCAATGAGAAAGTGATTATGTAATTTTGGCATATCCAACAATATTCTCTGGAATGCCAGGCTACCTAGAGAGTAGGCATCACTGTGAAATAACTAATAATACACATTCAATCTTAAATAAATAAATAAATAAATAAGGGGCAGAAGAGCCACAGTTTAAAACCCAACTCTTAATGTGTTTCCCCGCACCCACATACACATACACATACACACACACACACACACGTTGTATCCAAAGATGACAGATATATGCTAGAGGCAAAGCCCCTCCCTATTAATAATACCCTGGAGGTGGAGGAAAACTGCAGTGGGAACCGATGTTTTCTTCTTAGTTATTACTATGCACACTCTCCAGCCAAGTGTACCTACTATTTTATTTTTCAAAGTGTCAACAGGGGATTGTCTGGATCATGGATCACTTTTATTTCTTCTTCCATTTATCTATTTTGTTTTAATACCCTAAGAAACCAACCCAAAGTTTATGGGTGATTCTGATATGTAGTCATATTTGGGAACCACTGAAACCTGTGTACCAAAAAAAAAAAAGCACAAAAGCTGGGAGCAGTGGTACAACCCTGTAATCTCAGTGACTGGGAGACTCAGGTAGGAGAATTGCAAACTTGAGGCCAGCCTCCACAAATTAGTGTGACCCTGTCTCAAAATTAAAAATAGGCATAGTGGTGCATGCCTGTAATCCCAGTGGCTCCTAAGGCTGAGGCAGGAGGATCCCAAGTTCCAAGCCAGCCTCAGCAACTTGGCAAGGCGCTAAGCAATTCAGTGAGTCCCTGTCTCTAAATAAAAATACAAACAGGGCTGGGGATATGGCTTAGTGGTCAAGTGCCCCTGAGTTCAATCCCCAATACCCCCCACAAAAAAAAATAATAATAATAACAACAAAAGGCTGGGTATGTCTGTAGCTCAGTGATAGAGCATCCCTGGGTTATATCCTCAGTGCCCCCTCCCAAAATAGGGGCACAAGAGGGAACTCCAGTGTGTCCTGAGCTGGGTTATAGGCTTCAGGATGGTTTCAGGATTCAAAGCTACCAAAGCAAAAGGCTTTTCTGTTTTTCCAGCAGATAAAGTGAGGGCAGACAGGTTAAACCTCCCAGCCAGACAATAACAAGTACCTCTTCAGAATGCAGAGAATAAGAGTTATGGATAGGGGGATGAAAGACACACATCAGCACAAAAACTGAAATTAAAACTGTGATACACCACTCACAGACAACTAAGAGGACAAAAACCAAATCCGTGTTCAAATACTCAGCCCTCTGGCATTAAGAATCTAGAGCCCTTCTTGTAGAGTGGTCATCCTGAAGCCACTGAATGGGCTGCTCCCCAGAAGCAGATGTTTGGTTAAAGAACCACTGAGATAAGAAGACACTAAGAATGTGAAGGGCTCCAGACTGGGATTTTTGACTTGGAATTTATCGTAGAAGTCACTGCCAGGTTTAAAAGCATCAAGACCTTCTCAGAAGTACTTTATGATGCTAAGACTAGCAGAAATAAAAGTGCACGGAAAGAACATTAATAATGGGCTGTATGTGTTTTAAGGGTTTTATTTCTTACAGGAAAAAGAAAGTAAGCCCCTACACTTGATTAAAATTTCTTTTGACCCAAAATACCAGCCCCTTTAGAGTAGTTCTAGTAGGAGGGCTAAGCATTTTTCCAAAAGGATCAGGAACACCTATTGGAGGAAATGGTTATCCATCTAAGTACTTCATTTTCTTTAAAGGAGTATATGCTACTAGAACATGGAAGTACATGAGTAATCACCATAATCACCACTAGGGAGATTCTTTTTTAAATCTTGTAGTTTCATAATCTAGAATATACTGAGCTAATTTGATATTAGTGCATTATGAGATTGTGGTTAAAAGATGTTTTTTAAGGACAAATACTCAAATGCTAACATTCAAAGTGTTATTACTGAATCACAACGTAGTATCAGAAGAGGGGAAAATCAAGACAGAAGATGACTTTGGTTACTACACTGGATATACAGTAGGCACAAGACACATGGGAAAGTGGAGGTCTCACTGAAACAGCTGAGGACATAAGGGTTTCTGAGTCTTTCACAAAAAGGAAATATGTACACATTCTCACTTTAAAGAGCATTAAATAATTTTGCTAAAAAGGACCCAAAGTCTAAGAATCATTCTGAAGCAGAACTCTAAAGTACAAGAAAACCAATTTAAGAATCACAGAGATGTTTTTGCCTCCCTGTTGAAAAATCATCCAATACATGGTCACAAAATACAGACACAAAAGTAGATGAGTCCAAGAGCTGCCATTTTGGTTTAAGATGATGGGACTTGGAGAGGGTACAACAGCCACTTCACTCCCATGGATGGAACTGTACTTACATATTTGAATAGAAACTTAGTAGATCAAGTAAAGATGATACCAGAATCTATTCTTAAGAGATGGAAAGCTCTTCTGTCATCATCTCAATGAGGAACAAGGACATACTTCCCAAGAGTGCACATGTCCCATGCTCTCAACCGTGTTAAAAAAAAATTCTGCTGCACTGTTTGCCACCTCCTTAACAAAATGTTTGGTTTGCTGGATTTAATTCACTCACTGTTGCAGCCGCTGCTGCCTCTAGTCCCTGTTGGCTCGGGGTTGGGCTGACTGGGGCCTCCACAGGTTGCCCTTCCTGATAGTGAATGGAAGAAAAGAAGAAGGGAGAAGAAAACAAAAGAGGGAGAAAGGGAAAGGGGAGACGAATGGAGGGTACATGGAAGGATGAAGATGGTCAGAAAAGGGAGAAGGGTCTTGTAATTCAACTGCTCTCCAATAGCAGGGAAAATCTCACAGCTACATGAGAGTCATGCAACAAGATCTTTTGGGTTTTCTCAGGCAGTGCAATATGTAAGCATTACTGGATAGCCAGAAATTACACACAACACTGAATGTTTGGCAATTCTAACTTTGTGTGTGTGTGTGTGTGTGTGTGTAATTCATATGCACATATACATTAAGCAAACATACATATATGTTGCTTTGGGGGGAAAAAAACATGCTTTAAACCAAACCTTTTGCCCAGATGTGTTGGTTGGTTGAAGTATAATTAAAAAAAAAAAAAAAAAGTCTCAGTGTCATTCCTATGGTCACCCAGGCAAATCATATGAGTGGGTTCACCTGTCTGTAGCTTTTGCAACCTTGTTTTGGCTGATGCTGCATCTAGACAGGTTCAGGCCTGGATTCTGATGAGCACAGCATGAATAAAGCATGACCAGGAAAGGTAAAAACTTGTGATTTGTTCTAACCCAGCTACTAAAGCTGAATCCATATGTCTGAGCAGCAAGTATATAATACTGACTTTGGCAGGCCTAGTTCTCATGCTGGGATATAACATGAATGTGTTTTAAGAGTGTACAGATTTGTGCACAGCTAATTATATCATCTGAGAAATCATCTTGTTATTTACTTATTATTTGTTTATTTCTTTTTGCAGTACTGGGGATTGGACTTATGGCCTCACATATGCTAGGCAAGTACTCTACAACTGAGCTACATCCCCAGTCTTATTACCTAGATCTTAAAAAAAAAAAAAGTCTAGTAATTTTTAATAGTAGATATACACTTACCAAATGCTTCCTCCTCAAATATTGATGGCGAAGAACCAGTGGCTTAAACAGTAGCATCCAAGGTACACACAGCAGAGCAACCACTACCAGGAAACACTGAATTCCTTTCTGCAAAATAAGGATAGGGCACGTCACTTTAAAGTACATTAATCAGATGTACAGTTTCTAAATCCAGCACAAATTTCCTCCAAACAGTTCTTTCTTACTGATATATTAATAACACTGTCTAGTGTCTCATATTACTTAATAGATGCTGTGGCAAACTTGAGAATTGTTCCATAAGAGGATAGTTCTAAATTTCATCTTTTCTGGATATAGAAATGACAGTGAACCCTCCAAGATAAGACAAATGGTCTCAATTTATATCTGGGTGTATGGGCCTAAAACTAAATATTACAGAAAGGTATTTTAGGTTTTTTTTAGGGTCAGAGAAACATGTGGCTTCCTGACAACCAATGAGAGCCACCCTCTGGGTTGACACACCTGTCCAGAATACAGCATTGAAATACCAGAATCCGGATAGGAAAAGAGGAACATGTTGATGAAATGGATCAGAAGGCTAGGTGCGTTCTCAGAAGAATAAGCATCATAGGCTGTCCATTTGTAAAAAATTAGGATAACCAAGTAGCCAAACAAAGAGGACATGAAGATCACTTCAGGAATAAATCCAAAGTAGATATTCAGGGGCTTCTTGAAATAGCTAAAAAGGGAAAGAGGAAAAAAATGAAGATTATGGCTCAATAGACCAGGGCCACTCCTTCACTGAATATAATATTCACTACATTTTTCACCCAGGAGCACTTTTATGTTATAGGGGACTGAACCCAGCGCTTCCCTCATGCCAGGCAAGCAATGTTACTTCCCTGGCCCTTTTTGAGAGAGGGTCTTGCTAAGTGGCCCAGTCTGGCTCCCTCAATTCTGTCTGTATCACTTTAAACAACAGCAGCACCCAGAAGCACTGGATGCAACAGAGACAATGCAGAATTAACTACCACTTTCAAATTTCTGGCTCTTGAATGGCTTCAGAACCATACCCACCATTCTCTCCATGAGAAAGAGACTAAAAAATTTAGTGTACTTTGGGACTACAGTTTATAACTTTAAGTGAGTTTCACATTAAGGAAGAAAAATAATTCACTCAATTTGATGAAAATTGCCTACTAATTTGCTTTCAAAGATTTTTACTGCTGGGCTGGGGTTGTGGCTCAGTGGTAGAGCTCTTGCCTAGCATGTGTGAGACACTGGGTTCGATTCTCAGCACTGCATATAAATAAAGCCCATTAACAACTAAAAAACCTAAAAAAAAAAAAAAAAAAATTTACTGCTGCTGCAAACTGCTAAGGGACTACAATTTAGCTTCATTTAACACCATAAGATTTTTGAAAAATTACTTCTATAATACAGTCAGGTTCTGAGTTATTAATGCCTCCCCAAATATGATACGATGTCTTTAGGCAAAAGCATTATCTGAATAATTCATTCTTTTTTTTTTTTTTGGTACTGGGGATGGAATCCAGGGGTGCTTAACCAATAAGCCACATCCCCAGCACTTTTTATTTTGAGACAGGGTCTCGCTAAGTTGCTTAGAGCCTTGCTAAGTTGCTAAAGCTGGTTTTAAACTTGTAATCCTGGGCTGGGGATATGGCTCAAGTGGTAGCGCACTCGCCTGGCATGCATGCCGCCCGGGTTCGATCCTCAGCACCACATACAAACAAAAGATGTTGTGTCCGCCGAGAACTAAAAAATAAATATTAAAAATAAATTCTCTTTCTCTTTCTCTCTCTCTCTCCTCTCTCTTTAAAAAAAAAAACAAAAAAAAACTTGTAATCCTTGGATAGGTGCAGTGGCAAATGCCTGTAATCCCAGCAGCTCAGGAGGCTGAGACAGGAGGATCTCAAGTTCAAAGCCAACCTCAGCAATGGCAAGGCACTAAGCAACTCAGTGAGACCCTGTCTTAAGTAAAATACAAAAAAAAAAAAAAAATAGGGCTCAGGATGTGGCTCAATGGTTGAGTGGCCCTGAATTCAATTCTCAGTAAACCACCCCCTCTCCCCACCCCCAACCCCCCCCCCCTGCCAAAAAAGATTTGCAATCCTCCTGCCTTGGCTTCCCAAATCTCTGTGATTACAGGTGTGTGTCACCACATCCCAGCGACTATGCACACTCTTATGAATATAAGAACAGAGCAACTCACATATGGTTGAAAAGGCTCAGACTGACTCCAAACATCATATGGATGATACCAAGAATAACAGACATCTTCATCTTAAAGGAGTTGAGGAAGGTCAGCTTATTGGTAGCAATGTTCCAAATCTGTCACGACCCAATAAAACAAAAAGGTATTACACAAAGAATTCTCAAATGGGAAAATATTATTCATCTGATTAAAACATTTTTTTGTTTGTTTTGTTTATTGAACCTGGGGCTTTCCTCATGTTAGGCAAGCAATGGACTACATCCCCAGCCCTTTATATTTTTACTTTGAGATAGAATCTTGGTAAATTGCCCAGTCTGGCTTTGAATTTGCAAGCCTACTGATTTAGCTTCCTAAGTATCTGGGATTATAAGCATGTATTACCATATTCAGCTAAGGGTTTTTTGTTTGTTTTTTAAATGGAACATTCTAAACCTAAATTTAAACAGAATAATAAACTGCTGTATCAGTCAACTTCAACAATTCTATCAATTTATGGATTCATACCAATATATTTCATCATGCCCACTTCCCACTTTTATATTATTTTGAAGCAAAGTCTAGATATCAGATCATTTTACCTGTAAATATTTTAGTATGGATCTCTAAAAGGTAAGAAGTTTTGTGTGTGCTGGTGACCTCACACATGCTAGGGAAGTAAGCTACATCCCCATCCCTTTAAATTTTGATACTTGGAATTGAATCTGGGGGTGCTTTATCATTGAGTCATATCACCAGTGCTTTTTTGTTTTTGTTTTTGATAGTAGGAATTGAACCCAGAGTACTTTATCACTCAGCTATATCCCTCGTCCTTTTTATGTTTTTATTTTAAGGCAGGGTCTCACTAAGTTGCTTAGGGCCTCATTAAATTGCTGAAACTGACTTTTAACTTGTAATCCTCTTGCCTCAGCCTCCCAAATCACTGGGATTACAAGCGTGTTCCACTGTACCCAGCCCTAGTCCTTTTAATTTTTTCAGAAAAGGTCTTGCTAAGTTGCCAAAGCTGGCCTCAAACATGTACCCTCTTGCCTCAGCCACTCTACCTGTTGGTTGGGATCATAGGCATATGCACCATGCCCAGATAAGGATTCCTTTTTAAAAATATATCCATAATACAGTCACCACACCAAAAAGCATTATCCTTTTTTTGTGTGTGTGTGCTGGGGATTGAACTCAGGGCTCTGCTAAGCATATGTTCTATCAATGAGCTAGAACCCAACCCTAATAATGATTCTTTAATATCATAAAATACTCAACATTCAAATTTCTCTGATTTTGTCCAGACTATTTTTTGGAGTTCATTTATTTAACGCAAAGTCCAATTAAGGTCTTACACTGTGATAGCTAATTTAGTTTTTAAGTCTCTTATCTATAGGTTCTCCTTCTATTTTTCCTTTTTTGTTCCCTACAAAATATAGTTTTTTTTTAAGAAACTGGGTTATTTATCTTGCAGATTACCCCACACCTGTTTTGTTGATCATATTCCTTGATGATGTTGTTCCACCTATCTGTGTGTGCATGTGCATGCAGTGTTGGAGACAGAACACAGGCCTGGAACATTTTAGGCAAGTACTGTACGACTGAGCTACACCCCCAGATCTCATATATCTTTTTTTTTCTTCAGTAATGAGGATTGAATCCAGAGGTGCTCTACCACTGAATTATTCTCCCCTTTTTATTTATTTTTAAATTTTGAAACAGGTTCTTTCCAAATTGCCTCAATTGGCCTTGAACTTGCAATTCTCCTGCTTCAGCCTCCCAGGTAGCTAGAATTACAGGTTGTAGAAGTGGGTGCTATCATGCCCAGACTCCTTTATCTTTCACTATCAACTTCTGTAGTTCCTATTACCTAAGGCTTGAATGCTTGTTAGTACTGTCTGACAGTTTTATCTGCCTCCATTGGGCCATCTGTTCACGCTGCCTAAACCATGGCTCTCATCTAATCATCCTCCTGTGCCAAAACCTTCCCTGAATCCCCACGGTCATCTTAAGGTGAAAGTGCAAGCTCTGTAGCCTAAGACAGAGCTTGTACCTCCTAGCTCAGCATCTTTTCTATTTGAACTGTCCTGTCCAAAAAGAGTTCATCTGCCGGGTGCGGTGGTACATTCCTGTAATACTAGCAGCTCAGAGGTTGAGGCAGGATGATTGCAAATTCAAAGCCAGCCTCAGCAAAAGTGAGACACTAAGCAATTCAGTGAGACCCTGCCTCTAAATAAAATACAAAATAGGGCTGGGGATGTGGCTCAGTGGTTGAGTGCCCCTGAGTTCAATCTCTGGTACCTGCCCCCCCCAAAATTGATTGATCATATTTTATTTGCCAAAGTATTTGGAAAAAAAAACTCTAAGATAATTTTTTTTTTTAAGTTTGCAACTTTAGCAAAGAAAAAAAAAAGTCTGAAATCCATAGGAAAGAAGTATTTCAGCTTTGTTAAACCTTCTGCTAAAAATACTGGGAAGGGATCTTGAAAAATCAGCCTTCCCGGAGTCAATATTAGCCACCTCAGAAATAAGTAATGCTGGGCATGGTAGCATACTCCTGTAATTTCAGTGACTTGGGAGGCTGAGGCAGGAGGATTGCAAGTTTGAGGCCAGGCTCAGTAACTTAGCAAGAACCTGTCTCAAAATAAAAAAAATAAAAAGAACTGGGGATATAACTCCATTGTTAAGTGCCCCTGGGTTAAATAACCAGTACCACAAAAAAGAAAAGAAATAAACAAGAAGTGTGAGTCTCTCCTGACTTTGAAGTACTCTGAACAAATAAATCAAGGTTTTCTAAAAATGTGTCAACTAAAAAGCAAGTAACTATCTTCACTTTAATTCTCTCATTTCAGGGTTACAAGTGAAAATAGCATATGAGAAAGAATACTCTTACCGGATCAATACCAAAAGGGTATGGCCCACCAAAAACTCCAGGGACAGTTGGGTTCAGCTGGAGAACAGGGTTTCCCCGAAGAGTCTCCTCCCTATCGTGTTAGGAGAAAAACCTATTTATTTTTGATCAAGAAGGGAAACTACTAGGGTTCATAAAATAACCCCAAAAGAAACTACTACAGCAATCTTGTCTCTTTAATAAAAGATGGACTAGTAGTCAAGAATAACACACACAAAAATTAAAAACATATATATATAACTAAGTAGGGAATTTGAGGAATCTGCTTTTTAATTCTGCCTCCACCCCCTCAAAATGCACTTAATTTATAGTCTTGGTTCCTTGATACATGGAGAACAAATCATAAAGCGCTTCACAAGTTGGAGTATAAACAAGACAAAATACTGCATTCTTCTGAAATAGGGATATCGTCAACCACTTCCTTTCAGGGATTAGTTTATTCCTTGTCTTACAAATCAGAGCTGAACATAAAAGGATTATGTTTTGACTTTTAGCTTCTTCCGTAACTTACGTCCAATTATATTTGGTGAACATTGGTCGCACACTCCAGGATGACCCAAAGATATTAAGAGACTTGGAAAAGCAGTCATTGTAGATGAGGCCAGTATAAATGGAGAAAACTCCCATCAACAGAATAATGTATCGACCACTGAACACAGTGCTAAACATCTGGGAATCAGAAGAAAGAAGTAATGAGAATGCACTCACTGCAGCTCATGCAGTGACACTGTTATTTAGAATACACTAGCTTCTGGTGCTACTTTACTCCATCCTGGTTCAGAGAGCTTGAAGTATAGATCAAATACAATGTTAAGAGAAATTTGCTTGTACAGCACATGGTCTCTTTAGTAAAAAATGAACTTATTCTATCCCCTTTTGATAAATTTATGCATAAAAGACTTTTTGACCATAATTTCATAATGAATGCCTAAGAAATCATAAACACTTCAGTCAAATACAGATATAACATTACCTCATTCTCATTCTTCTGGGAGAGGATCCGGCTCTCCCTTAACACCATCCACACAGCAAAAAGGGTCATCAAAATGCCATGGCCAAAATCTCCAAACATCACAGCAAATAGAAAAGGGAAAGTGATGATGGTATATGGAGCTACAAAAAAAACAAAGAAAGAAAATCACCAAGTACACTAAAGAAAGCACAAGCTGGGCATGGGAGTGCCTGCCTATTGTTCCAGCAGTTTGGGAGGTTGAGGAAGGAAGATCACTCATTCAAAGCCAGCCTCAGCAACTTAGTGAGACCCTAAGCAACTCAGTGAGACCCTGTCTCTAAATACAAAAGAAGGACAGGAGACATGGCTCAGTGGCTGAGTGCCCCTGGGTTCAATCCCTAGCACCATAAATAAATAAATAAATAAATAAATAAATAAATAAATAAATAATAAAAGAAAGCACAATTCCCAAAATATCACATTCTTCTCCATGTTTTAATTAACATCAGTATAAGGTGGCTTATTCCCAGGTTGTTGAACAGATGAACTCTCAGGGAAAATCTTTCATGGCAGGAACTCTACACCCTCACAAAGCAGCTAATGAAATAATGTGCTACTGTTAACATTTTAAACTAAGAACACAGGAAATGAAAAGGAAGCTTTGGTAGCACTGTGGTTTGTCCCATTACCTTCTTTCAACCCCTAGGACACTGTTCCTAGAACATGCCAGCTGTCTTCTCTTCGTAAGCAACCAATTTCTAAGCAGAATGAAGCTACTTACCATCTAAGCAATGAGGAAAGAGCCTAGAAGCAAAACAAATATCCTGCAGAAGGCTACATCTGAAACAAATCCTCAAACTTTTTTTTTTTTTTTTTTTAGCAGTGCTGAAGATTGAATCTGGGGCCTCATATATGCTAGAAAAGCACTTTGAGCCACATACCCTGCCCCTCAGATTCTTGATTAATAATTACCTCTCCAAACAGAGGAGAGAAATGATTTTTGCTAATAATGGTCAATAACTGCTATATTTTGTTTTTCTAACCTTGGAAAAGGGAAGACAGGAGGAAGCCATTTTTGAATATAAGACATCTTAGAGAAATATTTTTCTTTTGTGTGTATGTCTTTTTTTTTCTGTACTGGAAATTGAACCCAGGGTGCTTTATCACCAAGTTACAACCCCAGTCCTTTTTAAATTTTTTTGAGGAAAAAGTCTAAGTTGTCCTTTAACCTGCAATCTTCCTGCCTCAGCCTCCAAAGTCACTGGGATTATAGGCATGTGCCACCATGCCTGGCTAGGAAAAAACATTTTTCTTAAGGCAGCTGCTATAAATGGGTATTTTATGGCTGTGAAGGCACGTGCAAGAGTCCAATCCAAGCTGGGCATGGTGGCACATGCTTATAATTCCAGTGGCTTAGGAGGCTTAGGCAGGAAGATCACAAGTTCAAAGCCCACCTCAGCAACTAAGCGAGGTTCTAAGCCACTTAGTGAGACTTTCAAAATAAAATATAAAAAGGGCTGGAGGGCTGGGGATGTGGCTCAGTGGTTGATCAACCCTAGGTTCAATCCTGGTTCAAAAAAAAAAAAAAAAATTCAATCCAATAAGCTCTTAAAGAAGTACCACCTGGCTGGGCACATTGATGCATTCCTGTAATCTCATCGAGGCAGGAGGATCACAAGTTCAAAGCCAGCCTTAGCAAGGTCCTAGGGAACTGAGATCCTGTCTCAAAATAAAAAGGGCTGGGGATGTGGCTCATTGGTTAAGTGCCCCTGGGTTCAATCCCTTGTACCAAAATAACAACAACAACAACAAAAAAACAACAAAACAATAAAAAAGATCCATGAGATGATAAAAGATGTCTTATATTTAAAATGGCTTCCTTCTGTCTTCCCTTTTCCAAGGTTAGAAAAAGAAAATATAGCAGTTATTGACCATTATCAGCACAAACTGCTTATGTTAAATGGGTACCCCTTCACAGGTATTACACACGAGCTGAGGTATTAACAGCATCTTTAGTTTTAAGCCAGTTGTTCAAAAGTGTTTAAAGTGAAGTGTTAAAAGACTCAAACAGACAAAAACTTCTAGAGGAAAATGATTCAGACATTTTACCTTTCAGATATTTTACCTGGGTTTATCTCTCGGTAAGTCCCAATTCCATAAGCATCTACTATGTTTTGAAAGCCGTATGTGAACTTGTTGGTTTTGTTGTAGGTTGGAGGAGTCTGGTTTGTCTGCATCCTGTTCAGAATGGAGGGCACAGTGGAACCACTGTGTTCCTGGGAAACATCAGCACAGGAATCAAAATTAGATTATACGCCTACTTGTGGTGGCTATATGGGTGTGTGTATATATATATCAAAACTCAAGTTGTACGCATAAAATCTATGTATTATCTCTTGTGTAAATTATATATCAATAAAACTAATGAATAAATAAGACTATAGGCTATTTTTCCCAATCCTTGGAGAAACAGAACTAAGTGTAAATTTATAATTAAAGTTCAACTAAGTATGGGGATGTATATCCTTCTTGTGAAAAAAAAATTTAACTTTAAGCAGAATACAATGGCATGTATCTGTAGTCTCAGCGTTTGGTAAGCTGAGGCAGGTGGAACACTTGAACACAGAAGTTGAGACTGGCATGGGCAACATAGATGAACATAAATAAACTCTAAAATGTGTAACCAATGAAAACACGGAACCTCCTTCACATCAGCCTTTCTATGAATACTGCTGTTTTCTCCTCCTTCTCTGAAGAAAGCAATGCATTCTGCCTCTCGTCCACTACCTTCTCCTCCCTCCCTTACCCCTGCAGTCTGGCCCAGCAGGCTCCTTCAAGGTGCCTGGCTCATCAGCAGATGCAAAGGCCCTCTCTGCCATGTGCAGGCCCAACACTGAAACTCTTCCTCTTCTCTCCAGTACAAATTTCTTTTCCTTAGCAGTCCCCTCCTGCTCACTAACCACTACTCCCTTCTTTGCTGGCTTTCTCACTTCACTTTACTTACTGACCTGCAATTTCCACATTTGTAAGACAATAGTATTCTAGGCTACATATAACATGTATTGTCAGGATCCAAAAAGAATATGTTAAAGAACTCTGAAAGTTAAAATGCCATAAAAATGAAATCAGTTAGTGTTACTACCCTCTCTTCCTGGGTGCAAGCTTCATGCTAGCTTTGGGAACTCACCGTGCCCCTTCTAAGTGCAAACTGGATGGAATCGAGGTCAGTGACTGGGCACCAGACCTCTGCAATCAGGCATTTCTGGGTCACATCTATGTTGCACAGGTTTAGGGTATGGTAGATGGCCTTCATCTTCCGCACTTTGATGAACCAGACCCGGATATTCTTAGCAGCTGCCTGCAGAACCCTCTGCCGATGATCCTCTGTTTGATTCAGAACCTTTTAGCAGAGACAGAAACAGAAGAGGGATCCTTCATACACCAGCCTTAGATCTCAGGATATGAATGGCAAAGAAGCACAGTCTCCAAAAACAGGTTTCCAGGAACTATTTTATTCTTCCTCTAACTAATTTTTTTGGTGGGGGAAGGGTAGGGGGAGAGGTAATCAAATTATAAAAAATATTAGTTGTAGTTACTAATATTCATTTTCACTTAGCATAAAGCTGAAGAAATACCTGAGGAAATGTCGGATAGCTTTTCTCTCAATATTCAATCTTACCACCTGTCCAGGGCATAATAAACACAGGTCTCTGGCCTTGACTCATTTTTGCATGTTAAAGAACAGTGACTTTCCACATAAAGCCTGAACTCAAAGTGGGCAGCACAGGTACAGGAGTTTACAAATTAAAAACCAGACATTTAACAACAGCAAGCTGCAGACTGCCCTGCACATGCAACAGCATCAGGGAACATGGGAAAGAGGCAGTGCGGACCACGTGCCTATGTTGGAAATGTTAGCCAGGAGGCATTGTAACATCAGGAGCACCCACAGTCCCCAGATGGGTTTGGGCTGCCATATACCACTGCCATTGAGGGGCCACTGCCATCAAGGGGCCAAGAGGCTTTATTTATCTTTTAGAAAGGATTCTGGGAGGAAAATAGTTTCTGTGTTGATCCTTTAGAAACTAGTAGATTTCTCTCAGAGGAAAATGCAGGGACATTTTAAATTCCATTGCCTTCAAATATTTAAGATTTCAGTAGCAGGACAGAGTCTAAGCCCACTGCTCCTACTAGAAGGAACTGAGTAAACAATCCACTCTCCACACTTCTGTATGAGAATCCATGTTAAGTCTCCACATTTCTTTGAAGAGGGAATAGCTCCATACAAACCATGTTAAGGTTCTTCAAATTAATTCAGAACAAAGCAGCAACTATTCCTTGAAAAACTATCTTGCACAGAGGAAGGTAACTTCCACAGAGAGGTTTCAAAAAAAAAAAAGAACAACCACATATGCTCAGGAAACTTATGTCACTTTAGGATAGTCACTATCTTTCCTTGTTGTTGACTATTTCACAAATACTACTCAAACTTCTGAAAGGATACTAAATAAACTTACAACCAATGTTCTATTGACTTTTTTTCCCCCATCCTACTCCTTGGTGTTCAATTTCTTTCCAAGATTTCAGTTCCTACAGCTGGATGTTTTTTTGAGGGGGCAGGGGTATAGAGCATTAAACATAGGAGCTCTTCACCACTGAGCCACATCCCCATCCCTTTTTATTTTTTATTTAGAGACAGGGTCTCACTAAGTTGCTGAGGCTGGCTTTGAATTTATAATCCTTTTGCCTCAGCCTTCCAAGTTATTGGGATTTCAGGAATGTGCCACCATACCTGGCTACAACTAAATTTTTTAAAAATCAAATTTTAGGGCTAGAAATGTAGCTAAGTTGTAGAAAATTTGTCTGGCATTTTTCAAAGCCCTGGGTTTAACCCCCAGTATGGGGGGAAAAAAAAAGTCAAATTCTAATAATTTAGGGAAGGGAACAGTGGCTCATACCTGTAATCCCAGCAGCTGGGGAGGCTGAGACAGGAGGATTGGCAAGTTCAAAGCAAAGCCAGCCTCAGCAAAAGCAAGGTGCTAAGCAACTCAGTGAGATTTTGTCTCTAAATAAAATACAAAATGGGGCTGGGATGTGGCTCAGTGGCCAAGTGCCCCTGAGTTCAATCCCTGGTACAAAAAAAAAAAAAAAATTCTAGTAATTTATAATAACTACTGTACATGCTCTTAATTTACCTATAAACCTTGAAAGAGATAAAAAAAAAAAAAGCCCCAGAATGTGTTAACACTATCATCAACCAGCAGTTCTAAAAACACTGTTCCTCTAGTTGAACAGACAAGTTTATCTCAAAAGAGCTCATTAATGCTAAGTTACTGTCAAGATGGTGGGTCATATAAAATGGGGTTGAAGGGGAAGATCAGAAAGGGAATTATTATATATCTTTGATAATTTTGTCATTGCTAAAAGGAACTGCCTTTGGGATGAGACACGAGTCAAAGGAAGCAATCATCACATTTCTTCTTTCAAGAGGGAAGCCCCAGTGCTTGCTCTTTCCTTCTATAAACTACTATACATAAACTGCTCCCTTGGAGCACTGTAATGACCGTGATGTCCATAAACCACCCACACTGTGACTTGGTAAAAATCTAACTCAATCACTTCTTGGTTCAAGAGGCACACTAGGGGTCTTTAGATGGATGGACTGTGTAATTAGATTAAAGTTGACCAGAGGATAGCCATGCTGTTCAGAGTAGCTGCCAAGGGAGTAGAGAGTGAGGGCAAAACTGGCTTTATGCGTACTTCTGGAGCATTGCATGTTTTTGTTTTTTTTTCTTAAGTAAGCATACTTTTTATTACAAAAAAAAAATCTCAGACTCATGAGGGAGAAAGGAATTGAATAAGTAATAATGATTCCAGATGTACAGCATTCCTGTCTTGTTTGCAGATGACTAATGCTATTTTTAACAGTCATTCCCAGAGACTTTTCCCAGCCCCCAAAGGGATAGTACCCAAAGACATTTCTTTTTTTGGTATCCAGAACTGCTATAGGTATCTAATAAACTGTCAGTTTTGAAGAAAGAGAATGGTCCTCTACTGAAGTTAATTCATATGAACAAATTCCCTCTGACCCTCTGTGTACCATTTGGAGATCGTCAATCCTGGTATTGACTCCAGAAGCCATTTCTTTCCTTTCCTGTGGCGTCTCAGGACAGGGATAGAGTGAGGCTCGGAATCTGGAATGTACAGATACAGCCTTAGAAACACCAAATTTCTAAACATATTCAGTTTAAATAATCTCAGAAAGTAATCCTAAATTACTAGTAGGCTCAACACAGGATTAAAGCAGACTGATGAGTTAACCAACACTAATAATTTCTATTAAGTGGCCAGTAGGTAGAACAATATCATTTGAACTCTGTGTGTGGTGAGGATGGGGCAGGTACAGGGGATTCAACCCAGGGGCACCCTATCATTTTGGCACATCCCTGGCCCTTTTTTTCCCCCTTTCTTTGAGACTGGGTCTTGCTAAATTTCCCAGTCTGCCTCAAACGTGATCCTCCTGCCTTAGCCTCATGTAGCTGGGATTACAGGTGTGTACCACCATACCCAGCAACATATGAATTATTTTGACATTCTCTGCAGCTATGAAATTTCCCTGAGACTTAAAAAAAAAAAAAATTAAATACTATATTGTAAATTATTGGAGAAAAATAGAATGGAAAAAAATTCTGCTTATAAGGCAAAATTTTAGAAAACCTAAGGGCACAAGTGTCTGTAGTACTATAGAGGTTTGTAGATCCACTGTCCCCTCAAAAAAGAAAACTGGTTTTTGTTTTGTGGTGCTGGGGATTAAACCCAAGGCCTTGTGCTTGCACTCTACATTCTACCACTGAGCCATACACCCAAGGAAATTGTGCGGTTTTGTTAAGTACTGGGGATTGAACCCAGAGATATTTTATCACTAAGCTGTATCCCCAGCCCTATTTATTTTGAGACAGGATCTTTGCTAAGTTGCTACGGCTAGTCCCCAGCTTGCGATCCTGTGGCCTCAGCCTACCAAACTGCTGGGATCACAGGCATGTACCACTGTCAGACCCAGCTGAAATTGTGGTTTTGGTGGTACTTCAATAAATTTAAGCTTTTTTTTTTTTTTTGGCAGTTCTAGGGATTAAACCCAGGGTCTTGCACATAGCTATACAACTATCAGCTCTTTTTTTTGTGTGTGTGGTGCTGGGGATTGAACCCAGGCCTTGTGCATGCAAGGCAAACTCTCTACCAACTGAGCTATATCCCCAGCCCACAACTGATCAGCTCTTTTTATTTTGAGACAAGTATTACTAAACTACTAAGGCTGGCCTCAAATTTGTGATCCTCCCACCTCAGCTTCCTGAGCAGGTAGGATTACAGGCATGAACCACCTCTCCCAGTTTGGAGTACTCCTAATGGTTTAAAATACAATCCGCACTTCACTACTTTGAATATTAAGACTCAACAGTTAAGTAACACAGCTGTGCCATCTTGGGTGGAGGCAAGTATTTCTTACCCTTCACAGATTTTCTTGACTCTGTTTTTCAGCTGATCGCCTTGGAAGAAAATGATAAACACAGACTTGTGCACGTAGTCACCCTAAGCTCCAGAAGCAAAAGCCAAGAGTTCAGACCTCTAAATCTAGATGAAAATATTTTAAACAGTAACTTTCTATATGATAAAGGAACAATAGGGGACTGGGGATGTGGCTCAAGCGGTAGCTCGCTCGCCTGGCATGCGTTCGGTCGGGGTTCGATCCTCAGCACCACATACAAACAAAGATGCTGTGTCCGCCGATAACTAAAAGAATAAATATTAAAATTCTCTGTCTCTCTCTGTCTCTTTAAAAAATAAATAAATAAATAAATAAATAAAGGAACAATAGGAATCCTTTAAGGATGTGGTCAGCCTGTATTTTAACCAATACCCTCACTCCTTTCTTAAGCTTCATTAAGAGAATAGCTGTCTTATAATCTCTTAATTCACAAAAATCTTCTTTATTTGTTTTTAAACATAACCAGAAACTTGATAGAAAAGCTAAGGTGATATTTCTCTTAGTACAACTTAGTTTATTTTCCAATGCAACTTTAAATCTTATATGGCCTGAATGACAAAAGTATAGAGGGAAGGAAAGAGAAGGAAGCCAGAGGTGTTTGCGGGCTTATCTGTTCTGGGGCTTGGAAAGGGAGCTGAATAACTATAAGGAACTGAGTCACCGGGGAGAATGTTGATGAAGAATCTCATAATTGATTCATGTTAATTTATACCTAGTGGGAAAGGGAGATAAGCAATCAATTCCAAATACCAAGTTTACACCTAGAATATGATGCAAGGACTAGAAGGAAAGATTAGAAAAAATAAAGTATACAGGACTGTCTAGTTGGCTCTAGTTTCTCATACTCAGAGTATGTACTGCTTTTACAATAACAAAACTTTAGAAGGATAAAAGAAAAACCACAGAAAGTTAGGCTCAAGAGCCTTAAATTCAGGGTTGGGGATATAGCTCAGTGGTACACTTCCCTAGCATGCGTGAGGCCTTGGGTTCAATTCCTAGCACTGTAGAAGAAAAAAAGTCTTATTCTCCAGGCTACACTGGGGTCAATTCTTTGTGCAGCTGCTCTATTATACATATTAGCCCTCCCCTTTCCTGAATTTGTTGATAATATAATCTTTCTATTGCCAAGAGGAAACTTGACTGAATACTGCAGAGAACAATTCCATATCAGTTATGACTGCAGACTATAATGTTTCCACAAGAGTCTTTAGTAAGACTCAAACCTTACCCCAAGGTAAAGTGATTCACTTTAAATATCACCACATTCCTACTTAGTATGGAGGATAAAAGTCACAATATAGCTGTACCATCAACCCAATCTGAGAAGATTCACAATTCAGTCTCTCTTCTTAGAATAAAGAATACTAATTTAAGAAATTCCTAAGATAATCTAGAACAGAAAAACCAACTCTAGACTTCTGAATAAAATGAAATAAAATTTTTGCAATAAATTTAGCCTTTGCTTGTAATCCCTGAAATCAGGACCCATGTGCTCATATAGATTTAGGTTATGAACTCTGTCCCGTATGTCAAAATGCCAAGATGTTAGGCTGTTCCTACTTTCCAAAGCACTATATGGGGAAGATCATCCTACCTTATACTATATAGATATTTACACATATGTATATGTGTGTGTGTGTAATTTTTTTAGAGACAGGTCTCCCTAAATTGCTTAGAACCTCACTAAGTTGCTGAGATTGGCTTTGAACTTGCAATCCTCCTGCCTCAGCCTCCCTAGCTGCTGGGATTACAAGTGTGAGCCACCATGCCAGGCCATTATATATATATATAATGTAAGTATGTATGTGTGTGTATATGTATGTGTATGTATATATATATACACACACACACACACACATATGTATACACACACACACACACATACATATATATGTATATGTATATATTTTTTTTCGGTACTGGGGATTGAACTCAGGGGCACTCAACCACTGGGCCACATCCCCAGTCCTTTTTTGAATTTTATTTAGAGGCAGGGTCTCATTGAATTGTTTATTGCCTGGACATTGCAGAGGCTGGCTTTGAACTTGCAATCCTCCTGCCTCAGCCTACCCGAGTCGCTGGGATTACAGACATGCGTGCCCAGCTATAATAAATATTTTTGAACTAAGTTTCTGATTTTCCTAACAAACAATAATAAAATCGTACCAAATAAAATTTCATAAGATTTACAAAGATCATATTTATGCATAAATATGACCAAATTTGTAACCAGATGACTTGCTTTAATTTTAATATAAGGCAAATTTTCTTTCAGTCCCAGACCAGTAACAGGAAATATGTAAAACTAAAGTTTAAAGTGATTGGAAAAAAGCATATTTCCAATCAAAATAATACCTATGTGGGTAAAGGTTGAAAATAATGTGTATGTCATGTGTATATCAGATACACACATGGTGAGAGTTACATCAGAGGAAAGGAGCAGTCCTTCAAGTTCTCAGATCAAAGCAGGGGTAAACATAAGGGATGCTCTGTGGAAAGGTGGGATTCAGATGACAGACACAATGTTATACTACGGCTCTGGGTGCCCTTTACAAGACCTATTCCACAGGATGCAATTTCCTTGTCTTACAGTCACAGGATCCTCCAGGGGGTTCTCGATTTCAGCCTGTCTCAGGAACACATTCCCTCGGCATACTCGCCAAAGCATGCGTTCAAAAGTAGGGATACGCTCTCGGTTAATCACACCAGCCACAAATCTGTGGGCAGAAAAAAAAAAAAAAACAGATTAGGAATTCTGTTTCATGTCAAGGGATGGAAGGTTTTAAGACAAAGAAGGAAAGTGGGAGAAAGGCAAAGATTTAACACAGGAGACTATCTTTTGTCATGTCAAATGGGCTGCCAGAGTCTTATTCCTGACTACTTCCAGCACCAGAAGAGGTTTGACAGACAACTCAGGAACTGAATCCAAAAACACCCAGAAACACCTCTGAACAGGATCAGGAGAGAACACACCCTTGTAGCAAATGAATCCCCAGCCTCACTGCTCTTTTGAACAGCAAAGATGAACATGATCCCACTGAGAGAGTAAGGCTGAAGTGGTACTTACCCAAGTCTTAAAGGCGTGCCTCTTCCCATCTCACTTGGCTCCAACAGGGACGAAGACTCTTCCAACAGGTCTGGATCCGCCATCTGCTGATGATGCAATTCAGCCTGAATTCACAAATCAATTAATATCTAATGAAAATAGTTAGTGGCATGCAGGGAAGAGGAACCAGGAGACTTTTAGAAAATAAAGATGGGAGAAGGGACACCAAAGATAAGACACACCCAAAAAAAAAAAAAAAGAGAGAGAGAGAACAAGGGAAGAAAATAAACATGAGGTAAAGAAAGCATAATTGCCCCAGGAAAGCATCCGGGCAAATGGTTTCAGAAATAAGGAATAAAAGAAAAACATTAAGTGATGGTGACACGTATAAATCTGTTACTTGGTGGAAACCATTTTCTCTCTGATGTTTCCCTGAATGAACCATGAAAGTGCCAGGAAATAGCTTTACATGTAGACAAAAAGCTGAGATCTCTCTCCTTTTTGAACAAAAGTGTGGCACACACTTCTAAATATTTAATTTCTAGGCAGCTACAAATTAGAATTTGCTCCATGTGACAAAGTGGAAGGTGAAGAGTCTCTTTCCAAGTGAGAAACTGTCACTGTCTTGAATATGGTGCGATCTGGAGAAAGAAAGAAGGAGCATCTCCAAGACGTCTAAGCTTTCCAGACTCTTAGAAATTCAGAATATGAAAACTTACAGCACAGCCACGTGTGGAATGCCCCAAAGTATGGGACTTAAACCCGGGCAGGCCTGTGCCTTCATTGCATATTTCAAGGTCCTGTTTTCTGACTAGGAATCCAGCAATATTTTTAAGGTTCATATAGGCTTTACAGTGGAATGATTCTTGGAGAACATAACTCAAGAATCAAGTGAAATGATGGCACATACCTGTAAACCCAACTACTCAGGAGGCTGAGGCAGAAGGATCACAAGTTCCAGCCTAGCTTTGGCAACTCAGCAAGACCATGTTTCAAAAATAAAAAGGGGTGGGGATGCAGCTCAGTGGTAGAGCAACCCTGGGTTCAATCACCAGTACCATTAAAAAAATAAAAAAGTAAAGTGCAGAAAAAGTAACAGGTAATAACCTAATCTAGAGCTCCTGGGCTGGTTTAATTGGTTAGATTTAAAATGAGTTCCACCATGACAGTTTATACAATGCAATGAAAGAGGAGAAGGATCTTCCCACACGGAGGTCTCTATCTCCTTACCTCTCTATCCACCTCATCCTGACAGCCCCTTTACTCCCATCAGAAAGGAGAAGCTGCCCTCAAAAATAAAGTCCAATCAACTTCTCCACTGCTTAATCTCCCCAACTTTAACTTCCATATTGCTTGACCAAAGGACTAGAAGTAGCCAGAACAATCTTTCAAAAGCAAAACAAAACAAAAAGGAAAATTTTTCTCTATCATTTTAATTCCAAATTTCAATTTGACTCTAATCCTTCAACATTATCAAAAAATGTCATATGCCACTTTATCACTTGATAAAGTCATATGACCACAAATACAACAAGGAGGGAGGAATACTAAGTATAAACCAGATAAGACTAAAAGTCTGAAAAAGTGAAAGCAACTGTTTTGGGAAGTAAGGATCAAGGCTAATCCACAAAAAAGAAAAAAAAAAAAAAAGAAGAAGGAAAAAAAAAAAAGGTGGACACCAGAGATTATAAACTAAGATGAGATAGTAGGAACAACTGGTTCCATCACAAGGAAGTAGAGGGGATTCTTTTGTTTCTATTCCAAATAGGCTGACTACAGCTTTTTTAAAGGATCAGATGACAACATTTCAACTTGTTCTTGGTCTATCCTTTGGCAAAAAACAGTGAAACAGACTGCAACTCACAAGACTCCCTCCTATGTGCCTGTGTGGTTCACAGGACCTGGTTTAAGTAAACCCTAAACATCAGACACAGTAAAACACATGTAACCCTAAAGACAAATGACGGAACAGCAAATAGCATTTAGCAGCCAGACTACTCCAAAGACTATATCTGAGGCTCCAAGAATAAAAACAACAGAATTAAAATTAAGCAGAAACCTCAATATTCTAAACACTAATTTCACTACTTCATATTTAAGAATACCGAGTCTCAGAAAGTTTAAAATTCATAAATAAAATTATGCCTGATGGGAAACTAGGATAATGAGACCACTAACTAAGGGCATTTTAAATAATATCTGAAAGCATGTTGTTAGGCATCCAAAACTTAAATCATAGAGAACCTAATGACAATAATAATATTACCAATGTTTCTCTAAATTATTTGCTATGTTCTACTGAGTAACTCTTTCCCCATTTAGAATGCTGAAAACCATGTCTTAAAACAAGTAGCAGAACAAACTTTAGTTTTGTTTCTATAGCATTTATGCATAAGCAGCACATCCAGGCAAGCTACATCAATTACTAAGAGCAAACACTTTTACCTTCCATCTACATTAAGAAAGAAATTACATTTCATCACTTAAGGTATTCACCCAAGCCCCAAAGGAGATGGCAGATGGTTAAGGAAAATAAAGAAAGCAGATGGATGGAAAACTCAGAAGGAAAGGAAGACGGGGATCTGCATGCCATTAACCATTACTTTTCCAGTCTTCTTTACGTTCTCATATGTTATGGTGCTTATGGTAAAAGATGCAGAGAAATCTCTCCAGCTCTTACAGCTCTTCATAAGCAAGAAGACTGAGAAAAGGATAATCATTAACAAGTCATTTTAAATGCTCTGGATAAGAAATGGCTAAGTTGAATTTGTAATCAACTTAAATAATAAGACTATTCAATATATATTTACTTTTCCTTTCTAAACACCTTGCCAATTATAACCCATATGTCTAAATATGAAAAGAATCACTCTGATTTAGCCATTTTCTGCTAACTCAATATGGTAAATTATTAATTCCACATTCATCAAATTATAAAAAAGAAGAGGAGTATATAATTAGTAGTGTTTTAGGCCATTTGCAAACACTGCAATTTCAGGCACGGAAGAAAATCTCATGAAATCTCAGTTTTCAATATTTGAGGATCCCAAGTTTGCTCACCTTTTGCATTATTTAATGTGCACTTGCATGCACAGATGTAACACCATGTGAGGCCTGGCAGCAGCAGGGCAAAGTCTATGGAAAGGGATCTGACTGAGGCTACAAAATAGTAGCAAGAATGGGCAAGGTGCTGACGGTGCACTGGGAGAGAAAAGGCAGATTTTTGCCAAAAGCCTTCCTGCATTGCTTCGAGGGTGCTCGGAATGAAAGGGGAACCGATGGCAAAGGTGGGGGAGAAGCTCTCATGGCCAAGGCCTTGGGCTCAAAGTACTTTCAGAGATGGGAGGGAAAGAATTTTGTATATACAGGAAAGAGAAACAAACTCACCATGGAAAGGAAAGGTCAAGAAGGTCATGAGGGTCAATAAATCTGCTTTCTCAGGATGGGCATTTAACGTTCAGATTTAGTAAGCACAAAATAAATTCCTAAACCCCTAACTTAGAATTTTTAAATTGTGTGTCATCTTTCCTAGTGGTTCTCTTGGTTTATTTTTATTTCTTTAAAAAATGAGTCATTTAGCCAGGTATGACACACATTTGTAATCTCAGCTATTCCAAAGGCTAGGGCAGGAGGATCACAAGTTCAAGCCAGCCTCAGCAACTTTGTGAGACCCTGTCTCAAAATTAAAAAATAAAAAGGGCTGAGGATGTGACACAGTGGTTAAGCACCCTTGGGTTCAATTCCTGGCCCCAAAAAATAAATAAGTTAAATTAAAAAAAAGAAAAAAAGGCTGGGGATGTAACTCAGTGCTACAGTGCTTGTCTAGAATGTGTGAGGCCCTGGGTTCAATTCCCAGTAGTGAAAAAAAATTAATAGTTTAAATAACTACTTCCCTTAAGGGAGCTCATTTGTCCAGTTGTGAGTTTTTATTCAGAATTTCTCTCAAAATGAACCAGAATGAGCTGGGGATATAGCTCAGTTGGTAGAGTGCTTGCCTCACATGCACAAGCCCCTGGGTTCAATCCTCAGCACCACAAAAAATTAAAAAACTAAAAAAAAAAAAACAACAGAATAAGAAGCTTCCTTCAATCCTTAAACTCTGGAGATCATGAAAGATATTTTCATATATCACAACAATATCCCAAAAGTGAAGTAAAGGTCCTACAAGAAGGGGTAAATAACCTGAAGGTAAAAGAAATAAGCTCAAAATGATGCTAAAAGTAGTTGAGGTTTGACCACGAGGCCAGATATACACTGGATTTGTGGACAGCCACTTGGACATGTTTAGAAAAGCACCCATCTGTGAGCATAGTGAGCACTAGCTCAGGGATGTTTCATAAAATGACTAATTATACTTCACAAAGATTAATTAAGTGCTCATTATAGGCTCAGAGATTTAATGAATAAGAATATAATAATGTTTAGGTGGTGAGCATACTGGAATTCCACATAATTTGTTCATTAATACACATGCCTGTTGCAAAAGATCTTAAACACTTGAAAAGAGAAAATCACACAGTCCCACACCCTCTAATGCAATGATATTGGGGACACTAGGGGAAGACATTACACGAGTCTCAAAATTCTCAACATGGTGAGCAGACTGAAAATTCTCACAAAACCTCTATTGATATATAGCCAGATTCTGATTCTTGAAGGACCAGGCAATTAAATTCACATGAGCTTTTCCACCATTCTTTGCCTCCACAGATCTTTTCAATTAGAATAGCTTCTCTGAGTCAAATCCTTGGTTACTGAGGAATGTATCACATCCTTGGCATATTTGCTCTAGACTAATGGTTTTCAAACTAGTATGCTTCAGAATCACCTTATTAAAAAGGATGGCTAGGCCCCACCCCAAGGTTTTTAACTCTACAGGTCTGGGTTTGACTGATCATTTATGTTTTTGTTTTCTTTCTTTCTTTTGTACTGGGATTTAACCAGAAGTACTTTACCATGAGCTACATCTTCCCAGCCCATTTTATTTTTTGAGACAAAGCCTTCCTAAATTGCTGAGGTTGGTCTTGAATCTGCAATTGTCCTGCCTTAGCCACCTGCATTGCTGGGATTACAGTGTATTTCTGGCAAAATCCCAGGTAAGGCTATTACTGCTGGTTGGAGAACCCTTGCTTCAATCTAGAGAACTACAGAGAATTGTCCCTTCTCAAAAGACAGAAATTAAAAATAAAGCTGAGCACTTTGGTGCACACCTATAATCCCAGCTACTCAAGAGTCTGGGGCATGAGGATCCAAGTTTGAGGCCAGCCTTGGCAATTTAAGAGACCCTGTCTGAATATTAAAAATAAAAATGGTTGAGGATGTAACTTAGTATTACAAAACTCCTGTGTTCAATCCCCTGTAAAAAAAAATTTTAAAGTAAAGCTGAGGGGCTGGAGTTGTGGCTCAGTGGTAAGAGCACTTGCCTAGCATGTGTGAGGCCCTGGGTTCAATTCTCAGCACTGCATATAAATAAATGAATAAAATAAAGGTCCATCAACATCTAATAATCTTATGGCAAAGACACTTGTCAAAAAGAGAGTTACCAATATTTTAGTCTATCAAAAAAAAAACATATTCAGGTTGAGAGCAACTAAGACTCCTCCCTAGGTTTAATTGAAGAAGGAAACTTTCTACAAGCCTGACTTCAAGTCCTTTCATAGGAGTCCCCTTGTCAAGCTGTCATCTGACAATTTAGTCATTTACATATTTTTTTTAAAATTTTTTTTTAGTTGTAGCTGGACACAATACCTTTATTTACTTATTTTTATGTGGTGTGGAGGATCGAACCCAGTGCCTCAAACATGCTAAGCAGGTGCTCTCTCTATTGCTGAGCTACAACCCCAGACCTGTCATCTACATATTTAACCCAGGAACTTATTTTTTTTTCCTCATAATGAAATTGCATTTATTTGAAAAGCCAAACAAGCATCCTACCAATATTTTCATATATCACATGAAAAATTTGAAAAGTCAGTGTGACATGTTACCTAAAGCACTAAAAACCTGTGCCAAAAGATTTAGAGATTAAACTTTTGTTATCATTTTGTCTGTAACCAAATATTTATTTCTTCAAGTTAAATCTTAAGAATATACTTACCTTATGATATATAAATATAATACCAAATTTCAATTATGTGTATACATGATTTTAGAGTTCCTTTCCCCATCTTGAAGATGAAAAATTGCAAAAATATGAAAATATACAAAATCATGGTTGGCTGTGTACTGCATGAAAAATGGAACATAATCTGACATTTCTTCAACTAAAACAGGATGCAAAAATGATATTGCTTCCAAATTAGCAAATTAAAATAATTATTGGAATAAAAATATGGCCCACTTGTGCAGGTATATAATATCAGCTTCTCAAATACTAAAAGAAACAATAGTCTGACCTCATCAAAAAACTGCTGAGTTTTGCGAAGTATAAATTTTAATTCAGTCAGTTCCAGGAAGTTTCTCTTCAGAGCTTCCTGGTTTGTGTTGATTTCCTTTAGTTCATTTTCAATCTTCTCAAAATTGGCCTAGAGGGAAAAAAGAAAACTATTAACCCAAACTAAGTTTAATATACTACTCTAAAAGACATTAAATGAATTTATCTCAAAGAACTATTGCCACACCAATAGGACAAAGATACATTATACTGGACTGGGATTGTGGCTCAGTGGTAGAGCGCTTGCCTAGCATTGTGCAAGGCCCTGGGTTTGATCCTCAGCATTACATAAAAATAAATAAGATAAAGGTATTGTGTCCAATTACAACTAAAAAATAAATATTTTTTAAAAAAGATGTATTATACTTATCAAGCAAATGCTGACTTACATTTTCTTTTTGCAAATTTTTGCTTACAAGTCTTTCTTTATCTATATAGTCTATGGTACACTCAGTAAATTTCTTGGTTAATTGAGATGGATAATATATTACAAAAAAAACCCAGTGGCAATTCATTTAGTCTATGAGGTTAATAAGTGACAAGACAAGTTGCCATTAATCCAATAAGTGTTCAAGAAACCAATGAACATTTCATTAGTAGCATATGATGCTGTCTGAAATACTATTTGATACCATAAAAAAGAGAATTCACTTCAATCCCATCTTCAGGAAACTTAAAATCCATAGACAATGCTCACAAGGTTAGCAAGAATTACCAACTCAGGAAATTAATTTTGGCATTTAAGTAGAAAGAAACTTATCTGGCTTTCTTAAAATTGTTTACCTCTAAGTCAATCATGTCCCGGGGAAAGGGCACTTCTGGATTTTCGCCAGTGTCCATAATTGGGATGTTAGCTTTTCTTATCTCTTTCTCAACAAATCCTAAAATGATAGAGTAAAAAAAAAAAAGAAAAAGAAAAAAAAAAAATTCATGTCCAGCTGCATGCCTGGAATTGCCACTACTGGGGGTGGGAGGGCCAAAACTTGATTACAAAGAATTTCATTCTAAGAAGAAGGAACCTTCATATAAAGAAGCACCTTTTTTCTCCATACCCCTCTCTTGTACTTCACATTCTCCAACACCACCCCAAAAAGGATGGTTAGTTCACAACTGCTTTCTTTCCCCCTTTGAATCTTAAAAACTGGAATTAACCAACTTTGACTCTCCACACTATGCAACTGTATCTCCAAGTATGGTGGTTCTGTTTCAGATACCATAATAGGCCAAGGAGAGCCCCAGAAGAAGAGTACAACTAAGTATTTGATAACACACTACAGTGAAATAACTCTAGATCAAAAGGGTTTTCTAAAGGGCTGGGGCTGTAGTTCAAAGGTGGAGCACTTGCCTGGCAAATGTGAGGCACTGGGTTCAATCCTCAGCACCACATAAAAATAAATAATAAAAATGAAGGTATTGTGTCCATCTACAACTAAAATAAATAAATAAATGTGTGTGTGTGTATGATTTGTTTAAAATAATCAGGCCAGTTTTAAGCATAAAAATAAAAATAAAACGTAAAAGACTTAAAACACCAAAAGAGGGCTGGGGTTGTGGCTCAGTGGTAGAGCACTTGCCTAGCATGTGTGAGGCCCTGGATTCGATCCTTGGCACCACGTAAAAATAAATAATATAAAGGTATGTGTCCAACTACAACTAAAAAATAAATATTTAAAAACAAAACAAAAAAACACCATAAGAGAAAAGAATATTTCAGGGAATAATTACCAACTTTTTTTTTTTTTAAAGTGGGGACCAAATTCCCCCTATCAGCTAACTGTAATCTGACTTGGTAAAATGGCAAGAACCTGGGTAACAACCTGATTTAAAATACTGATTCCATCACAACTACTTATTTTCTTGGGCAAGTCACTAAACCACTCTGATCTTTAGTCTCCTCAATTATTAAATGAGGTAACACCTACATTGAAGGAATGTAGTTCGAAATGAATGAAACAAAGTATTCATTCATTCATTCATTAGTACCCTAGCCCTCAACAGGAACTTCATGTTAGTTTCCTTTCTCATAAATAGTTCACCTTAAAAGGTAGCTCTTCTGATACCTAAAATTGATAATGCTGAGTCTTACCGCTCAGAATTCTGTAATGTAGTTATGTTATTAAAATCCCACAATAGGGGCTGGAGTTGTGGCTCAGTGGTAGAGCACTTGCCTGGCATGTGTGAGGCCCTGGGTTCAATCCTCAGCCCCACATATAAATAAATAAATAAAATAAAAGGGCTGGAGTTGTAGCTCAGTGGTAGAGCATTTGTCTTGCAAGTATGAGGCACTGAGTTCGATCCTAGCACCACATAAAAATAAATAAATAAATAAATAAATGAAAATAAAATAAAAAGTTCAATTTACAACTAAAGAAATGTTAAAAAAAAAAAAAAAAAATCCCACAATAATCACAGTGTTTTTGGCTTACAGCCTGTCATTAGAACAGGTTTCCAGTAAGCACTACCTAGCCCAAACTCCACATAATCTGTATGTATAAAAGAAATTCATCTTAAAACATGATCACATGGGCTGGGGATGTGGCTCAAGCGGTAGCGCGCTCGCCTGGCATGTGTGCGGCCTGGGTTCGATCCTCAGCACCACATCCAAACAAAGATGTTGTGTCTGCCGAAAACTAAAAAAAAATAAATACTAAAATTCTAAAAAAAAAAAAAAAAAAAAAAAAAACATGATCACAAATTTTTTTTCTCTTATTTTTCTCCTATAGTATTTTCATTCTTTTATTCAGAGGACTAATATCTCTAATTTAAGATAAACGATTCATTAGAAGAACATCATACAAGACCAATAGGCACATACGAAGTTTTCGATCCATTTCTTCACATCTTCTAACTTCATTCACAAATTTTCGCTGGAAAACATTCACATCTGGATTTAACTGAGAAATAAGAACAAAATACCAAACATTCAAATACTGCATCTATTTCCTCTGTTCACAAGTAACAACATACTACAAATTGAGAACCTAACTTTGTGTCACTGTATAACACAACATTAATCAAAACTATCCATATTCACAAAAAAAAAAACAAAAAACAACAACAAAAAAAAAACTGCCTTGTGACCAGTCACACCAGCTAAAGCTGGAATGGAGGTAAAATGGGCAAAGGAGCCAGGCACAGTGACACACGTCTATAATCCCAATAACTCCAGAGGCTGAAAATAGGAGGATCACAGGTTTGAAGTCAGCCTCAGCAACTTAGTGAGACCCTGTCTCAAAATAAAAAATAAAGAGGGCTAGGGATGTTGAACAAGTTCCCCTGAGTTCAATCCCCAGGGGGAAAAAAAAAATTATACGTGTGTGTGTGTATATATATATATGCACATATACACATATATACATATATACACATGCATATATACATACTTAGATAGATAGATAGATAGATAATCCCCTTAAATTCAGGAATAAGATAGGAATGACAGATACATGGCATTTTGCCCTACTTTCTTATGACAAAAATCTCAGAAGCCAGGTGTAGTGGCACACACCTGCAATCCCAGTGGCTTGGGAGGCTGAGACAGGAGGACTGCAAATTCAAGGCTAGCCTCAGCAATTTGGCAAGGCCTTAAGTAACTTAGAAAGACCCTGTCCCAAAATTAAAAATTAAAAAATTAAAAGGACTGGTGATGTGTCTCAGTAGTTAAGCACACCTAGTTTCAATCCTCAGTACCAAAAATAAATAAAATTGTTATGGAAGAGCACAGGGGCCAGAATAGCCAAGAAAATTATGATAGATAAGGTAGGAAAACTTGTATCCTATACAATATCAAACCTTAGTATTAAGCTATGGCAATGAAATTATTGCTTTATAAGCATAGAAATAAACAAAACAAGCTAACTGACCAGAGGAAAACCCAAAACAGATGCAAATATGTATGAAACTTAATATTTTAGAGAAGAGGTCACGAGTAATAAAATAACACACTATTCAAAAAGTTCTGAGATAACTGGTTTTTTACATGGGAAAATAATAAATCAGATCCCTACTTCACTCAATACAAAAAAATAATAAAGTCCAAACAGATCACTACATAAACAAATACATTTTAAATAAATTTTGCAAGAAAATATAGAAAAGTGTACTGCAAAAAGAAAAAAAAAAGAACAGGAAAAAACAGAATTAGAAAGTCATTTTTGTAAGTACCAACATAATCACTAATACAAGACAGGTTTGGTCAAGGGATACAAAAACTACTTAAAGATTAAAAAGGTTTTGGAGAATAGTATATTCAGTCTCAAAGTATCACCCCATTTTATTTCTTAATCACAAAGGGAATAAGAAACCTTTACAATGAAGAAATCTAGCAAACAATACCTTAATCAAGTGATCAAATTTATCTTCACTAAACAGAAGGACATTGTGTGCCTTCTAACATATTGAAAAGGGCACTCGTTTTATGTAGTGTTCTTGCCAAAAAATGTTTAACTTTTAAAACAAATTCTGTGGAAACACTTAGACAACTCCAAACTGAGGGGCTGTCTCTAAAATAAATGGACTGGACTCCTCAAAAATATTAATGCTGTAAAAGACCAAACCCCAAGCTACACTTGTGTAGAATGTGAGAAGTAGACTGGATTTCTCCTTGGCTATTCCTCACCAGTCCTTTCAGTGGTTCTTTTTTTAATTGATTTTATTTTTTTTTAAGTATACAATAGCGGAATGCATTACAATTCTTATTACACATATAGAGCACAAATTTTCATATCTTTTATATAAAGTACATTCACGCCAATTCATGTCTTATACATGTACTTCGTAGGAGTTTTTTTGCATTACAATTCTTATTACACATATATACCACAATTTTTCATATCTCTGTATATAAAGTAGGTTGACACCCAATTTGTGTGTACTTTTGGTAATGATGTCCATCACATTCCACCACCCTTGCTAATCCCCTGTCTCCTCCCTTTCCCTCCCTCCCCTCTTCCCTATCTAGAATTCATCTATTCCTCCCATGCGCCCCCTCCCTACCAAGTATGAGTCAGCCTCCTTATATCAGAGAAAACACTGGCATTTGTTTTGGGGGAATTGGCTAACTTCACTTGGCATTATCTTCTCGAACACCATCCATTTACCTGCAAATGCCATGATTTTATTCTCTTTTATTGCTGAGTAATATTCCATTGTGTATATATGCCACATTTTATTTTATCCATTCATCCACTGAAGGGCATCTAGGTTGGCTCCACAGTTTAGCTAGTGTGAACTGTGCTGTTATAAACATTGATGTGGCTGTGTCCCTGTAAGTGGTTATTATTGATAATTCCACCCTTTGTTTCTCACTCCTTCCTCATTCTACCAACACAGGTCTAAAAACAAAAATCACAACAAGCACCTTGAACCTAGCTTCACAGGGCATTATTTGGAACAACTGGGGCAATCAGAATGACTGCACATTAGGAAACTGCATTAACATTAAATTTCTTTAATGTGATCATTGGACTGTGGCTATCAAAAAAATGTAGAGCCAGGCATGGTGGCACACTCCTGTAAAACCCAGTGACTTGGGAAACTAAGCAGGAGGTTCACAAGTTTGAGGCCAGTCTCACAACTTAGCAAGGGCCTAAGCAATTTAGCAAGTAACTGTCTCAAAAAAAAAAAAAAAAGGACTAGGGATGAGGCTCAGTGAAAAAGCACCCCTGGGTTAAATTCCTGGTATAAAAAAAAAAAAATCTCTGAATGTCCAGAGCCAAAGTCAGTGCATCTGTAAGCCCAACAACTCAGGAGGTTTGAGGCAGGAGGATTTTAAAATCGAGGCCAGCCTCGGCAACTTAATGTGACCCTGTCCCAAAATTAAAAATTAAAAAGGGCTACGAATGTAGCTCAGTAGTAAAGTTCCCCTGAGTTCAGTCCCCAGTACCAAAATATAAAAAATAAACAAATAAATAGAGGAAAAAGAAAAGTAAAGTCACAGCCTGGAAAGAAATTAGGAGTAAAGAATTCAGAATACATGAAAAACTTGTTTTTACAAATCCCAAAAGTGAATAAGCAAAAGTCAAGCAATTCAACTAAAAAACAAGCAGATGAAGCCAGATACAGTAGTGCACACCTATAATCCCAGCGAAGTCAAGAGGACTGCGAATACAAACTCAGCCTCAGCAATTTAGCAAAGCACTTGCAACTCGTAAAATCCTGTCTTTAAAAAAGAACTGGGGATGCGGCTCAGTGGTTAACCATCCCTGGGTTCACTTTGTGGTACCAATAAGATACAAAAAAGGGGCTAAGAGGGAGCTGGAGTTGTGGCTCAGTGGTAGTGCGCTTGCCTTGCATGTGTGAGGCACTGGGTTCGATCCTCAGCACCACATAAAAAAAAAAAATAAATAAATAAACAAAATAAATTTATTTTAAAAAAGGGGGGGGGGGCTAAGAGCCAAGCGCAGGGCTGGAGATGTGGCTCAAGTGGTAGCGCGCTCGCCTGGAATGCATGTGGCCCGGGTTCGATCCTCAGCACCACATACAAACAAAGATGTGTCCGCCGAGAACTAAAAAAAATAAATATTATCTCTCTCTCTCTCTCTCTCTCTCTTAAAAAAAAAAAAAGAGCCAAGCACAGTGGCACTCAGCTGTAATCCCAGCTCAGGAGGCTGAGGCAGGAGGATTGAAGAGTTCAAAGCCAGCCTCAGCAAAAAGCGAAGTGCTAATAAGCAACTCAGTGAGACTGTCTAAATAAAATACAAAATAGGGCTGAGGATGTGGCTCAGTGGTTGAGTGCCCCCGAGTTCAATCCCCAGTACCAAAAATTAAAAATAAATAAATAAATAAGTGCTAAGGATGTGGCTCAGTGGTAAAGCGCCTGTGGGGGCTCAATCTCTGGTGTACACACACACACACACACACACAAAACCCAAATAGATGATATGAACACATATTTCATGCAAGAGGAAGCCCATATGTCCAACAAACAGATAAAAAGATATCAACTGTACCAATGCAGAAAATGCAAATTAAAAACTACAAGATATGGGGCTGGGGATGTGGCTCAAGCGGTAGCACGCTCGCCTGGCATGCATGTGGCCCGGGTTCGATCCTCAGCACCACATACAAACAAAGATGTTGTGTCCACCGAAAACTAAAATAAATAAATAAATATTAAAAAAAAAAAACTACAAGATACCATTTTATACCCATCACATTGGAAAATTTAAGACTAAACATAGAAGTTTTGACATAATTGTGGAATGACAGCACTAATAGGAATGTGACCAGGAAGATACTTCCATTGGGAAATACACTATGACAACATCTAACAAAGATGCACACAATACTCAGCAATGCCCTTTCTTAATTATAAGCCCTAGAGCAGCACAAAGATAACACAAAGACAACATTCTCATTTTTTCATGAGTATTCAGTGAAATTTTCTTTTATTTATTTTGCAGTGCTGGAGATTGAACCCAGAACCTTGAGCACGCTAGGCAAGCACTACCAATGAACTACATCCCCAGCCCTTCAGTGCAGTTTTGCAGAGGCTCATGATGCACACACCACAATAGAATGAATGATGAAGTAGATATGAAATCTATACATCTTCTATTAATTCAGACAAAAAAGAAAATGTAAAAACAGGGCTGGGTGTAGCTCAGCAGCACTTGCCTAACATGAGAAAGATCCTAGGTTCCCTCCACAGAATCAAATAAAAGAAAGAAACAAAGAAAAATCCACTCCACTCTTCTTTACCACTGGGCCACATCCCCAGTCCTTTTTTATTTTTTATTTTGAAACAGGATCTCACTAAGTTGCCTAGGGTCTTGCTAATTTGCTGAGGCTGGCCTCGACTTGCAATCTTCATCTCAGCCTCCCAAGTTGCTGGGATTGCAGACATGTGCCATCATGCCTGGCTCATAAAAACATTATTTGATAGTATGTTGTCAGTTTATTATTCCAATTTGCTGTTGTAGGTGCTGGAGATGAAACCCAGGGCTTCTCACACACTAGGCAAACACTCTTTCATTGAGCTATATCCCCAGCCCTTTCATAATTTATTTGAGACAGAACTGAAGATGTAGATCTATGGTAGATCTCTTGCCTAGCACACTGGGGGCCTTGGGTTCATGTTCTAGTATGAAAAAACAAAAAAACATTGTTTCTGAAATTTGATCATGTTTGATATAGGTACTTTTTTTTAAATACTGGGAATTGAACCCAGGGGGGCTTTTCCACAGAGCTACATCTCCAGTCCTTTTTATTTTGAGACAGGGTCTGACTAAATTGCCCAGGTTGGCCTTAAACTTGCAATCCTCCTGTCTCAACCTCTGAAACTGTTGAGATTACAGGCATGCACCAACATGCCTGGCTCTATACTTTCTTTGTATGACTGAAATACAATTTAAGTAAAAGATAAGAAGATAATAGATAATAGAAAATAATAGAAAGGAACCAGGCATGGCTGTGCACGCCTGTAATCCCAATGGCTCCTCAGGTTGATGCAGGAGGATCTAGAGTTCAAAGTCAGCCTTAGCCAAGGTGAGTAGCTAAGCTACTCAGTGAGATCCTATCTCTAAATAAAATACAAAATAGGGCTGGGGATGTGGCTCAGTGGTTGAGTGCCCCTGAGTTCAATCCCCAGTACCACCCCTACCAAAAAATTTTTAAAAAGAAAGAAAGATGGGGCTGGGGATGTGGCTCAAGCGGTAGCGCGCTCGCCTGGCATGCGTGCGGCCCGGGTTCGATCCTCAGCACCACATACAAAGATGTTGTGCCCACCGAAAACTAAAAAATAAATATTAAAATTCTCTCTCTCTCTCTCTAAAAAAAAAAAAAAGAAAGAAAGAAAGAAAGAAAGGAGACACAATAGAACTGGAGAAAAAAAATGCAAATTAAGTATAAAACAGGTTTCACTTATGTTCCAAGTCTAGAAAACTTGAAGAAGGGCTGGGGTTGTGGCTCAGTGATAAAGGGCCTGCCTAGCACGTGTGAGGCACTGGGTTGGATCCTCAGCACCACATAAAAATAAATAAGTAAATAAAAGTTACTGAGTCCATCTACAACTAAAAAAAGATTTATAAAAGAAGAAATCAGAGCTGAGGATATTGCTCAGTTGGTAGAGCATTTTCTAGCATGCACAAGGCCCTGGGTTCAATCCCCAGCATAACATGCACACATACAAAATTGGCAAATCTTACTGTATATTAATTGTACCTCAATAAAATTTACACAAACATTGTTGTAAATGAATATACATTAAAAAAAGAAGAAGAAAACAAAACTTGAAAAAATATTGAACATAGAAAGTCATGATACTGGGCTAGGGATGTGGCTCAAGTGGTAGCGCACTCCCCTGGCATGCATGCGGCCTGGGTTCGATCCTCAGCACCACATACAATCAAAGATGTTGTGTCTGCCGAGAACTAAAAAAGAAATAAATATTTAAAAAATTTTCTCTCTCTCTCTCTCTCTCTCTTTAAAAAAAAAAAAAATTGTTTAAAAAAAAAGAAAGTCATGATACTGAAATAGTTTGTGAAAAAGTAAGATACTGAGGGCTGGGGATGTGGCTCAAGTGGTAGCATGCTCGCCTGGCATGCGCAGGGCGCCGGGTTCGATCCTCAACACCACATAAAAATAAAATATATTGTGTCCACCTAAAACTAAAAAATAAATATTTTTTTAAAAATTATTAAAAAAAAAAAAAGTAAGGTACTAAGAATTAGACCTAGTGATCTTGAGAAACAGAATTACAGGAGGACAATAATCTTGGAGCGTTGTAAAAGCAGGGATGGTGTCTGGGAACTAAGGGCCAGAGATGTAGATTCTGGGACTCACTGAATAAAGATGTAATATTTAAGACTAGAGAGATCACCAAAAGAAATAAAGGAAGTTTTGGGGTCAGAGACGCTTACCCAGAGACAGCAGAGATCTTGGGGAACACTGAACCTATATTAGGGACAGGTAGGATCAAAGAAAGGCTAGAAGATAAAAAGTCCATCAGAAAAGTAAGAAAAGGAATCAATCAAGGAGAACAGTTAAAGAAAAATGGTTCAAAATGCTTCAAAGAGAATGAAGAATGAAGTCACTGGATTATATTTGTCCAATTTCGGCTCAGATTGAGAATTTGAAAGCTTGCTAATTCCAGGAAGCCTATATTGATTCCTTCTATCCCTTTGTGATCACTGCTCTTTCATTCATCCATTTGTCTCAACAAATATTGATTGTACCTTGGATACAGCCATCAAAGATAATAATGAGGGCTGGGGTTGTGGCTCAGTAGCAGAGCGCTTGCCTCACACAGGTGAGGCACTGGGTTCAATCCTCAGCACCACACAAAAATAAACAAAAATAAATAAATAAAGATATTGTGTCCACGTATAACTAAAAAAATATTTAAAAAAAAGATAATAATGAGCTGGGCATGGTGATACATGCCTTTAATCCCAGTAATCTGGGAAGGTAAGGCAGGAAGGATTGCAAATGTGAGACTAACCTTAGCAATTTAGTGAAGTCATAAGCAACTTAGCAAGACCCTGTCTCAAAATAAAAAATAAAAAGTGCTGGGCATGTGGCTCAATGGTTAAGCACCCCAGTACAAAATAAAATACCCTAATGAACAAAAAGAATGCCCCTGTCTTCATGGTGCTTAGATAATAGAAGAGAAAGACTTAAATTAAAAAAAAAAAAAAAATTTTTAAGACTTAAATCACCTACTCCCACTGATAAATATAAAATCATGACCACAATAAATATTATGAAAGAGAAGTACATGGAGCTTTGAGACCAGTGTAACAGGAGGATCAGAGTCTGGGAGTACTGAATTATTAACTTCTCCCTCCTTTTAGTGGTGTGTATTATGTCTTCCTTATCAGATTATAAGGCCCTTGGGGCATACATTTTTTACTCTTAGACTGTCCGTTTTGCATGTGTTTGTTTGCTGGGGATGGAACCCAGGGCCTCACACATGCTAGGCAAGTGTTCTCTTTACTAATAAGTTATATCCCTAAGCCTGTCCATTTTCTTTTGATATCATCTCCAAGTACTCAAAATAATGGATTATCGGTATGTGCTTAGCTATACCCTTATATCTAATGCCTCTGATTTTTTTTATTTAAAGAAGTCCTATTGTATGAAGAATGACAACAATTTTTTTAAAAATATCTTGCTATGTGTATTAAAGAGCCCAAAAGCAAAGTGAAAACCTTGAAAATGCTATAACAGGCTAGTAGGTTTACTCTTCTGGCATCCCAACAATTACTTTGAGAGTGTTTAGGATACTTCTCAAAAGAGGAACTAGCAAAAGCATGGAAGGATTGGCACAAAACATTCTCATCTCTGAAAAGACAACTTGAAGCACACATTCTACCAGTAAGGCGGTTCTTTTTTTTTTTTTTTGGGGGGGGGGAGGGGGTACTAGGAATTGAACCCAGGGTCTACCACTGAGCTATATCCACAGCCTTCTGTATTCTTTTATTTTGAGGCAGGGTCACTAAATTGCCCAGACTGGCCTCAAACTTGAAATCCTCTTGCCTCAGCCTCCCAAATAGCTGGATCTGCAGACGTGCACCATTGCACCCAGCCTAAAATGATAATTTGAAAATAAAAAAACAAATCACTCATGATAAGAGTTATTGGCTATGACAAGAAAAATTGAATACAGTAGTAATCAAGAAGCAGCCCCACAACTACTTACATCACGAAACTGAACCTTTCCAAGTTCTCCTAATTCACTGACACAACAATAAGCAGCTTCTGACTGTAGAAATAGCTGGGCGAGCGTCATCTCCTCACTCCGGAAAAGCTCCCCCATGGTTGCAGAAAGTAGTCAACTGAGTCTCTGGCTTCTGTTCCAACCTGAGGGAAGAGAGAAAATGATATGACTTTGGAAATCACCTAAAAACAATACCCAAGAGATGCTCTTTTGTTTTGAATTTTATTTCTTTCAGCCAGTGCTGACAGGTTTTTAACAACTGTTTTGATATCTTACTCAGAAAGATGGAAAAGAGAAGCCTGGTATGGTGGATGAGGCAGGAAGATAGAGAAAGTTTAAGACCAGCCTCAGCAACTTGCCTGAACCTATCTCAAAAAATAAAAAGCACTGGGGAAGTAGCTCAATGGAAAAACACCCTTAAATTCTAGTACTGTAAAAAAAAAAAAAAAAAAAAAAAAAAGAGAGAGAATGGAAAATTGCAAAAGCAGTTACTGAATCTGACATCTGCAGTGTCAGATGTAAAGTCACATCCTCTGCAGTCAACATCAAGATTAAATGACAATATTTTGGGCAACCTAATACATAAGAATGCATTCGGATTAAAGACAGGAACTGGGAACTCCAAACAGCTCTTTAAATATCCTGGATATAATATGAGGCAGTGACATTTCACACTGCTCAGTTTTTGTTTTGTTGAGCAGGAAACAAATAGAAGAAACTTTGATTAATTTTTTTTAATTTCCTTTGTGACTAGGAATCAAACCTTGGGCCTCGCACATGCTATGCAAGTACTCTACCACTGAGCCATACACCCAACCCTTGATTGCCCTTTTATAAAAGACGTCTGTATTGTGACAAGTTTTCTCCCCTCTACTGACAATGCCCATTAGGCCAAAGCTCCATCATTATCCTAAAGCTGGAGCTATATAAGGGGTTTAACCTTCCAAACTCCTCTGAAAATACCATTCCCCCACTATGGAATCCAATTAACTATTATCTAACAAAGAGAGACTGCATATTAAGCTCATCAAATCAAGCATAACAGGAACACATCTGCAATGACAAAGCAATTTTAACAAGCCACAGAGAAAAAGCTTTCCACCTCTGCAGCTTTCTATTTCTCATCTCCATCTTCGAGATAATTACATTCTTCCAGTCAAATTTTCTCACACAAAAGCCAATAAATGTTTCCTTTTGGGGAAAACACTTGCCGAGTATGAAAGACAATTGGCGCTATCAGTGGTCCTGAAAGTGAAATTATTTACTCTGAATCAGCTTACGTGAAGCACTGGACTCTACAGTATCTAACCGCAGCAAAACATACACTATTTTTAGTACCATAAGGTCATCGTATTCCCTATTGATAAGTGAGACTGACATCAAAGGAAGAGTCACTATTCTGGAAGGCTGGGAGACATTTTGAGAAACTGAAGGACAAAACCCTTTCTGCATTTCATGTTCAAGGCAGCAAACTCGCACGCCCACACGCACACGCACACACATACACATACATACACACACACACACACTCCAATATAAGCAAGGATTTCTCAAGAGACTATGTGGGTTGATTTTAAGACTGTGTGTACCTGAATCATCCAAATCAGCTGTTACCAGCCCCACCCCATCCCGCTTAATAGGATATATTCCCACAACCTCGAAACACATAAAACTATGCCTGCTCAGTATATAATTAAGGGGCTGCCATTAACGATAGCCTCCAATGAGTGGCCTCCCTCTTCTTGTTCTTTAATGAATACAAGTCTCCCTAGAATCTCTATCCCTCTAGAGTCAAACAGAAAACGAATTAGGCCCAAGTGGTTTCTTTGGGTCGCAAAATGAAATATGGAGAGCAATTCTGCAAAAGATAATAAGGCGACCCTCGTGCCCTGCCTCCAAGGAATTCACGGCAGTCATCCAGTCCTGGCTTCCACCAAGGTATTATTCACCTGCTTCATTTCCTTTTCCTACCCAGTGAGAAAGGAGGAATTCTCTGGACCCAGGCACACCTATCTCCCGGGTAAGGGAGAAAAAGGGCAGGAATCCCCAAACTAGGGGACCCTTCATCAAGCACCCCCCACAATTCTTCTGGCTACCCCAAAAACCTTCAGTCCCTCTAACTCCTTAAATCGGGGAAGTAATTCAGGTCTTTCAAAGGACAGTGAATCTCTGGTCCCTTTGCCCATAGGAGGGGTGCCCAAGGTGAGGAATGATTCCCAATTTTCTCTCAGAGCCCCAAGATCCCTGCTAATTCCTTCCACAAGGAAGGCGGATATTAGAAGGATTTCCTGCGTTCCTCGAAGGCCGCTCCCGGACGCACTATACTTATGACCCCCGCTCACCTTCGGCTGCCGGCCCAGCCGCCGCCGCAACCAAGAAAGCTCACAGCCTCCGCGGCTCCGGGCAGCAGCACCTCGACGTGCGTGCGTCAGAAAACCCCGCCCCTGCGCCCCCGCCAGCCCCCGCCTCCACGATGACTTCATCGCTATTGACCAATAGGGTGCCGCCTCGCCGGGGCTGCCGCAGTGCGGAATCGCTGGGGTGCGGACGAGCCTCAGCCTGGTGGCGCCATCTTGGTACCTGCGCTGTGATTCCTAGCAGTGAAGATCGGCCGGGGCAAAGCTGACAGCGCGGGTGGTGTGGGGCCTGGGGCGCTGGGTACTAGGAGGGCTAGCGGTGTGGGTGCTCGGAGCCCTGGGTTTCTGAGCCCTTCAGAGTCCATTCTCCCTAACCCTTATCCTTCAGACAACCTGACTGCCCTTTTTTTATTTTGCAGACGATTGATTCACACCTTTTTCTCCTTGAGGGAAGTAGCATGAAGGAAAGGGAGACATGATTTAAGAACTTTTTGAGGGCTTGGGTTGTAGCTCATTCGTAGAGCGCTTGTCTAGCACTGATGAGTGAGGCACTGGATTCGATCCTCGTACCACATAAAAAAGCAAGCAAGGGCTGGGATGGCTCAGTGGTAGAGCGCTTGCCTCCTGGGTTCAATCCTCAGCAACTCACAAAAATAAATAAAGGTATTGTGTCCATCTATAATTTATATATATATATATAATTTTTTTTTAAGAAGCAAACAAAAAATGTTTGTTTTTTTAAAAAAACTTTTTGTGCCCCATACTGGGGTTGACTTGCTTAATGTAGATTTGTTAGTAGAGCATTAAGAGTCTCGTGTTCTTAAATATGGAAAGTACACGTCTAGACTAGAAATGCAGCTTAGTGGTGGAGTCCTTGTCCACCACTATGTGAAGCCCTAACTTCAAATCCTAGCACCACTAAAACAAAAAACAAAAAAACAACAGGGTCCATTTGTTCCAGCAACCACCCAGGGTTTATTTTTCTCAAAGTAATTGAAAAAACACCAGAAGACCATATGTTGTGAAAGTTATTTCTTCAATCACTTTAACCGCTTAGGGATTTTCAGTTCCTCAAATTTGTTAGAATTATGTTTTTTAATGTAAAATGATGCCTATTATTTTTTAAAAACGCCTTTTTCAAAGGTCAATAATTTTCACCTTTTTTGCCTTTCTCTTAAAAAGGAGTAGGGACCCCAGGTAGTTTGCCAATAACCAGAATCCTATCAGGAAGAACCCGGAAAACCGGTTTTTCAATTCTCCCGTGGGTGGGTGATGGAATCCTATGGAGACTGAAGTATAATGAGGGAGATATCTTAGATTAAAAACTGGTGCTGACAATTTTGTATGCCTGGCAAAAGCATCATCAATCCTGCTTTACTAGCCTAAACAAAATAATGAAGGGCAAAAATGCAAATTTTATGTCTCATATTAAAGAGAAGACACAACTTGACTTCATTACAATTTTCTTGAGAAGCAGTGTCTTGGAGAGATCCCCATCACCTTCTCTTTTCTCTGCTTCCTATTTTTCTCTGCTTTCCTGGCAAGACAGATAGGGACCCATATTTGAAAGCCTATCAAGTTTTAGAAGACTATTACACAATGACTGTCACATCCTTCCTCTAAGGCAAAAAATCAACTTCAGTCAGCTGTTTGCTAATCACAAGTTTTTCATACTCCATCTTTAAGACAGCCTTTCCTCTGGATTCACTTAAATTTCCTTGAACTCTTGTCTTCCTTGAAAGTACATCCTCTCAGAGCTTCTTTCCTGTTTTTTTTTTTTCAATCTCCTGCCATCGATCTTTCCCCATTGTTGAATTTCTTTCCCCTCTGTTCCTCAATGTCTTATCTAATGCCAGGCTTAAATGTCTGTGTGTGGGATTGATATCTATTTTTCTGTCCACCTCTCTTCTTCAAGGCTCAGATATGGCATATTTAAGTGCATGCTGGGTTATGTTTTTTGTTGTTTTTTTTTTTTTAATTGTAGGTGAGTACAATACTTTCATTTTGTTTATGTGGTGCTGAGGATCAAACCCAGTGCCTCACATGTGCTGGACAAGCGCTCTACCGCTGAGCCACAACCTCAGTCCACTCCTAATGCTTTTTAGGCAACAGATGCTTGCTGAGGACCTACTATGTGCCAGACACAGTACTAGATTGTAGGGATAGGAAAATGAAACAAACACACTTCCTACTCTAGAGGAGTTTTCAGTTCCCTGAGAAGTTAAGTTCCAATATTTACAAAAGGGAGAGATGAGTGCAATGATAGTTCTAGTATGTGCTCGGCACTTTTCTAAGTGCTTTGTGAATATGAATTCATTTAATCCTCAAAAATAACCCTAAGGGCTGGGGATGTAGCTCAAGCGGCAGCGCGCTCGCCTGGCATGCATGTGGCCCGGGTTCGATCCTCAGCACCACATACAAACAAAGATGTTGTGTCCACAGAAAACTAAAAAATAAATATTAAAATTCTCTCTCTAAAAAAAAAAAATAACCCTAAGAGGTAGATAGAACCATTTAAGGGAGGATATGGTGATATTGAGATCGGTGTCCAAAAGCATCAAATTTCAAATGCTATTCAGTCTGGGGTGTAACTCATAGGTAAAGAACATACTGACATGAGCAAGGTCCTGGGTTCAATTCCCAGCACAGGAAAAAAAAAAATGCTCTTAGGCCAGGAGCTGTGCTCGTTTCTGCAGTTCTAGCTACTCCAGAGTTTGAGGTGGGAATATTGCTTGAGCCCTGGGATTCATAAGCCAACCTAGGCAGCATAGTAAGAAACAATTTCATAGAAAATGATGAATAAATAATAAAATGATATGCTGCTGACCACGTACAGCCTTAGGTTTTTTTTCATTGTCAATGGACCTTTATTTTATTTATTTATTTATGTGCAGTGCTGAGAATCGAACCCAGTGCCTCACACATGCTAGGCAAGAGCTCTGCCACTGAGTCACAGCTCCTGCCAGCCTTAGTTTGTTTTTTGTTTTTTGGGGTTTTTTTGTGTGGTTTTTTTTTTTTTTTGGTTGTTTTGTTTTGTTTTTTTGGTGCTGAGGATTGAACCCAGTACCTTGATGCACGCAAGGCAAGCACTCTACCAACTGAGCTATATCCCCAGCTCCCACCTATATTCTTAGAAGATGTGAGCAGTTTCATATAACGCTTAGCCAATAATACTGCATCTAAAGGGAAGCTATTTCTCTTCTGTGTGCTGGAGATCTAAACCTAGAGCCTCATATATGCTAAGCAAGTACCACTGAGCTACATCCCCAGACATTTTATTCATTCATTTATTTGTTTATTTTTGGTATTGAACCCCGGAGGGCTCTACCATCATTGAACTACAGCCCCAGCTCTTTTTATTTCATTTATTTATTGGTACTAGGGATTGAACACCCAGTGATGCTTTACCACTGAGCTACATCCCCAATGCTTTTTATTATTTATTTATTTTTGTTTATTTTGTTTTGCTGGGGATTGAACCCAGGACCTTGAAACAAACACACTTCCTATTCTAGAGTTTTCAGTTCCCTGAGAAGTTAAGTTCCAATATTTACAAAAGGCAGAGATGAGTACAGTGATAGTTCTAGTATGTGCTCGGCACTTTTCTAAGTGCTTTGTGAATATGAATTCATTTAATCCTCAAAAATAACCCTAAGAGGTAGATAGAACCATTTAAGGTAAGTGCTAGGCAAGGGCTCTAACACAGAGCCACATCCCCAGCCCTTTATTTTTCTGGCTAAATTTTCTGGCTAAATTGCTGGGGGTCTCACTAAATTGCTGATGGTGGCCTTGAACTTTTTTTTTTTCCTTTTCTTTTGGTACTGGATATTGAATCCAAGGGCTCAGGAGAGATTTACCACGAAGCTACATCCCAGCCCTTTATATTTTATATTTTGAGACAGGGTCTTGCTAAATTACTGAGGGTTCATTGAATTATTGAGGCTGGCCTCAAACTTGCAATCCTCCTGCTTAGCCTTTTGAGTCACTGGGATTATAAATGTGCACCACCATGCCTAATTCCTTTTTATTTATTTATTTATTTTTGTGATAGGGTAAGACTGAGTTGCCCAGGCTAGTCTCAAACTTGTGGATGATCATCCTGCTTCAACCTCCTCCTGAGTAGCTGGAATTACAGATGTGCACCACCACACCCAATTTATTTATTTATTTAATGTTTATTTTATTTTATTTTAGTTTTCGGCGGACACAACATCTTTGTTTGTATGTGGTGCTGAGGCTCGAACCCGGGCATCACGCATGCCAGGCGAGCGTGCTACCGCTTGAGCCATATCCCCAGCCCCCACCACACCCAATTTAAACTCTTAAACTCTTCTATCAAGAATCTGGATGTTAGATAATTCTACTACAACCTTTAGGTGACCTGTGATAAACTTTCATCATTGTTCTTGAAATGTTGTTTTACAGTCTGTTTCCGTAGTAGAAGTATTCCTTTTTATGATTTCACTGAGTTCCTCAAAATAACACTTCTGCTTTTACTTTCAAAGCCTATGAATATTTAAGATAAAGATCTTTTAGTAATAAATAAGTACTTCTTATTAGTAGATTTTGAGGCTTCCTTTGAAGTTAAAAGAAGGCCAATTTTCTTTAGCTCTGCTAGTGATTATATGGACAAGGAAATATGAACGTTTCCAAGCCATGTGACATTTTATTCAACCCTCATGATTCCTGTGACAAGCACATGAGGCAGAGAACCTTTTAACTTGTAGGAGTTGGGAATGCTATGTGAAGAGGCTTCTTAAAGAAGTGAAATTTAAAATATACAAGAAGGCTGGGGTTGCGCCTCAGTGGTAGAGGGCTTGCCTAGCACGTGTGAGGCCCTGGGTTCAAACCTCAGCACCACATAAAATAAATAAATAAATAAAGGTATTATGTCCAACTACAATTAAAAAATAAATAAATAGGGCTGGGGATGTGGCTCAAGCGGTAGCGTGCTCGCCTGGCATGCATGCGGCCAGGGTTCGATCCTCAGCAGCACCACATACAAACAAAGATGTTGTGTCCGCCAAAAACTAAAAATAAATATTTAAAAAAATAAAATAAATAAATAAAATAAAGGTACTGAGTTCATC